GATATATTCCACATTCACTTGAAGTAAAAATAACCCGAATTGTTATATAGCAAACAACCGATTATGTAAACATGCCATTAAACCAATCTTTATGTAACAGTAAAAATGTAAAAAAAATGCTTTCACGTTGACTGACCATAAAAGACAAATGAGCCGCGTCACGACAAAACCAACGTAATTGTGTTTACGACCAGCATGGATCCAGACCAGCCTGCGCATCCGCGCAGTCTGATCAGGATCCATGCTGTTCGCTTACCATTCCTATTACAAGAAGAGAAACTGACAGCGAACAGCATGGATCCTGATCAGACTGCGCGGATGCGCAGGCTGGTCTGGATTATTGCTGGTCGCAAACGCACTATGTTGGTTTTGACTGACCATAAAAGACAAATTAACTGCAGCCGTGTATGAAAAACCATTAATGATATACTATGCTCAAATTTGATGTAAGAAAATATTGATAATTGCTACAGAGTCTCTTTGTAAATATAAAATATACAAGTTTTGACTTCACACAAAGAAGATATGTTATGTTTAAAAATTCAACACACTATGGGTGGTCACAATATGAATATAGAAGAAGAAGAAGAAGAAGAAGAAGAAGAAGAAGGGGAGGAGGAAGAAGAAGAACGTTTATTTCTCACTTAAACTACGGGACTCCACTGAGGTTTAAAGGCCTAAAAACATAAGATTCAAATTCCTTACATACATGAGCTGGGGCACTTTAAACAAAAATATATGCAAAGATAGTTAAGAAATATACTTTGAAATAAATTGAAAAATCGTATTTTTATGCCTTTCTTAGCCCGATTTGATTGAAAAGCGTTTAAACGCTTTTAAGTTTGGGTCATCATTTACAATTTGAATAATTATTCTGGAAAAACGAAGTACGCGAATGATCTGATTTGCACAAAGATTAGTGGTCTAAACCGACATCAAATGGTACATTTATCTGGAAAAAAATATTTTCAGTCCCATTATGTCAATAAACCTCAGTGGAGCCTCTTTAACATATATACAAGCATACACATATAATGGCATGAAAAATACAATGACATGAAAGTAAACATGACATATTGGATGGACGAAACAAAATATAAATGCCAAGAATAAAAAGCATGATAAAAATTTAAAGCAATGTATAGTGTCTTTAAAAAAACTGGCATTTCTTTTTTTTAAGAAAAGACAAACATTAAAAAAAGACATACATTACTTGACCTGTAATAGGGAACGCAGCTTCCCATTAATAATAAATTCATTCGTTTATTTAAATTAGACATATTCAGTAAGACTTTTATAGATTTTAATAAATTTCTGTGATAAAACATTTTACTCAAATGTTATTTAAATATACTACCTAGGTGTTTTCGATTTTATTTTTGTAGATTAAGAATGAATGGCCTTCCTTTAAGAATTCAAACAGGTAGATTTAGTAGAAATAGAATCCCTCGTGAAGAAAGATATTGTTTGTTTTGCAATGATTTAGATATTGAGGATGAGTACCATTTTATCTGTATATGTAAATGCTATGATGTTATAAGAAAACAAAACTTAAAAGCCTACTATTACAGAAATCCATCAGTTTACAAATTTACTCAACTGTTAATCTCACAAAATAAAAATGAGCTTATACGTTTATCCAAATTTGTTAAAGAAGCTCTTTCCATTAGGTATGTACTTTCAAATGCTACTGATTACAATTAATGTTCATTCTCCAAATGTTTTGTTTTGATTCCAAAAATATCCATAAAAGCGTCTTATTTAATTATAAAAGTAGATAGTAAATACACATTTTTCCATAGCTACATGTTTGTTTGTTTGTTTGTTTGATTGATTGATTGATTGATTGCATGTTTGTTTGTTTGTTGTTATGAAACTATTGTATACGTAATTTGTGATATCCATATTTTGTTTGTTAATTTTCATGCAGCGATTACATATGTGAATATAATGTATTGTAGATGATGTACTTTGTACAAGTCTTAATAAAATATCTGTTCTGTTCTGTTCTGTTCTGTTCTCAAAGATGAACAACTATCAGGTAAAATAATCAATTATGGTTTATAATGTAGAAAGTCGAATACTGAGCCTTTTTTCTTATAAAATTTGATTAAAAGATAACAACTTTATCAAACTCTATATTCTGTATTTTTCCTATTAGTAGACATATTTTTATTTTAATGAAGCAGATATTACTTGTTATTAATATACAGTATTATGTTAGCTTTTTAAGTCTTAGGATATCGCAGTGAAGGATATAATGATTATAATGATGATTGCGATGATGATGAAAGTGATCATCCATATTCTTCTTCTTCTCCTCATCATCATCATCGTCGTTGTCATCATCATCATCCACACCACTACAATCATCATTATCATCATCATCATCATCAATTTCATCAATTTCTTCATCATCATCATCATCATCATCATCATCATCATCATCGTTGTCGTCGTCGTCGTCGTCGTCGTCGTTGTTATCGACTTTTTCTACTTTTAATTTTGAAATATAATGTACAATTGTTTTAATATATTATCAAAATGTAATCAATTAATACTGGCCAGGAAACATTGTTTTGTCTTATCTGTTAACATCATACAATGTTAAAATCAGATGTAAAAATGGCCGAGTTGTCATATACATGACAAGTGGACAATATAAAGAAATGATTACACACATTATTGTGATGTTTATCTTACATTTTTATTAATCTGTATTTTATATGATATTGTACATAAGATATTTAACTGATTAAATTGTCGAACAATATTTGAAAAATTGATAGAAACAAAGAGTTGATTCAAAGTTTGTTTATTTTACGTAAAGTTGATCATTTGACTTAAAAGTTAAAATGTCAAATGTTACGAAAATATTGTTATAATTAGAAATGCTTTCATCTTTCATATTTATCAATGTCTCTTTTTCCATTAAGGGAATAAAAATACGCAAGCCTAAATGTAATATAAACAACACGATGTGCTTATAATAAAATGCAATACAATACTTCAAAATTTTGTAATTTAAGAAGAATCCGTCCCTTTGACATGTTCGTCTTATTTTTTTTTTTGGTTTTCATATCAATTCTCAGCTAGCCTTTCTCCATGGCCTTGTGTTAATATTTCATCTTTTATTTTGCTTAGCAAAATCGGCGAAACATATATGCATGTATATAGGTATTATTGTGCCGGAAAAGCACGATTCCCGGGCATACCGTACCGTTTTTTCAGTCAAACAAAAGTAATTAAATATACACGAAAGCTAGAATCAAAAGCATATATCTTACAGAACATGTAATAAAATATGACCAAGAGCTATTTGCTGTTTTTTTCTTTCTTAACAAAAAATAAAAATAAAAATAAAATAAAAAAATAAACAACAACAACAAAAACTGAACACGGAGACGCCGAAATTCTTCTTTGTTAATTTTTATAATATTTAGAGTTGTGTTTTGGATAGGTTAACCAGATAAAGATATGAAGATAAAGATATAAGACATTTTGGGAAACGTTTGCACTTCTTTCTTGATAATTCCGAATTAGGAACTTTGCTGTACTGATATTTTGTACAAGATATAGCACTTTATAGTACCGAAACTTTTGGTTGATAGACATTTTAAATGACTTTATTGTCCTGTTCTGTGTCAGGCGCCACTTTCCAGACGAACTGGACCACGCACGTATCAAGATGGCGTCATATCCGACATTTTGTACCATCAATCATAAATGGACAACAGTAATTGCAACATTTCATTTTTAGAAAATCTAATTTGTTTATTATATATTTCAAAGATGAATTATTCAAATTTAAATTTGAAACGATGATGACGTAGAATGAATCCACAATGGCGCCGTTTTCAACAGAGTGTCCATTTTTATGATTTATTTTAGAAGTGTGTCTACTCAATTTTAATACATGTATTATAACAACTTCAAGGCTGTGTATAATTACCAATTTATTCAGGATATGATCATGAGTATCAGTGAACATTTTATAATATATTACATTAATGCATGACCTTTAAAGACCCAATTAGTTTATATTTTGCTACCTTTATGGACAATGATTTCACATCCAGTTCTGCTTTCTACAGGTGATAAATATTTCACATTTTCCTTAAATACAAGATTATGAAACACATGCTTGCTCTTTATACAGAATGTAAAAAAAGAAGATGAAGAAAAACACATTTTTGAGGCTAAATGTATCATTAATAAACAAACCGAATATACCATTATATATTGTTGGTTTTATTAATTAAACAACTTCTTAACGGTTTATGTTAGAAACAGTATGCATTTAAAGTAATATTGTTTTTTTAAACAGTATTTATTTTCGGAAAAAAGATATAACACAAAGTGTCGTCTGCTTTTGACAAATTGGAATCCTTAACACGGATCGTCTATAAATCCTTAAAATCTCTCCTTATGCCTTTCTCTACGAATTAAAAAAGAGAAGACTTTGTAAATACATCAAAAATGACACAATAAAAGCTGCAATAAAATTGCCAAACATAGAAAAGCATCATAAATATGTTTAATACAAAACATAGACCCGACTTATCACTGTATCATTGGTTCTTGTTAAAAAGATTGTCTAGTTTTAACTTTACTTAATGGTTAATTCATCAAATTTCTGACAAAATCAGATCTTTAATAAAGTTGTCATATACTGTATAGCGCTTAAGGGACTTTAAAACATTTATCATATATGATTTTTTTTTCAGATCTTGCAACATCCGTACTAACCCTCTGGGGTTTGACTTTGACAGGGAAAAAGTGCACACTTTCTCGATTTTAAATAAGATAAGATCAGTTCCAGCGATTGTTTTAGTTCATAATGTTCGACATCCTGAAAAGGCGTGAAGATAAAAAAGTAAACAAGTAATCTACCAATCAGATGCGAGTATTTTGTTGATATGACACACGTATCGGACAATTAATGAGCAATTAAATTTTAATAATTGAAATAAGATATTTCCACCAATGAAATAACATATTTTTGATAGTGACAAAAGATAGTATATTTTTAGTTTGAAATTCGACTATAAATATTAAATTTAACTCGGTAAAAGTCATATCAGTTTTAACTTTCATTTTGAGTAGGTTATCAGTACATGATAAGAAAGGTTGAAATAATTTTAATTCATGTATAAACTGTTTGTGACATTGTAAAATTTGGATTTTATCAAGGATTATAAACTACAGGAATAATGTCTTTTCTATCGAGTCTTCCCTCCTCGGCCCAGGTATTTATTTTTATTATTTTATTTTATTTATTGCTACTGCTTAGAGATTCCATTCTTAATTAATGCTAAAATACTGTTGAACTCAATGATATATGTTTATAAAGTTTTGACATTGTGTACGCATGGGCATACCGCCCGGATGTATTCTGAAATAAACTCTTGAAATTCTTTATTAAAAATAAACAATTGTCATATTTTATGACTCTCTCAAAAATCTAAATAAAGATAATTTACATATCTAGAAATCTTATAATTTAAATTTAAATGATATGCAGTTTTCAGTAAAATCGTGACTGTCAATTCTGTATATTTTTCTCCCACTAGTATTTTATAAGTGTTATGTTAAAACAACACAATTGACTGATCGAAAATGTCCAACACAAGCGGACATATCTTTTCTCAAAGAATGCGAACAAAGCCTTTCTAAAATATTCAGTAGAAAAACAGAGAATTTCAAATTCTATTTCATGTATAAAAAAGGTAATAAAATGATAATAAATATATGCCACAAAGTTGGATAACATGTACAATTTTAAGGTGCAAACTATTTTTCAGTTTGATATTCTGTTAATGAAAATACCTTTATTTTTTAGGGACAACTGGCAACATCCTCAGCATTTACAGGTTCTCAGAATTATTTATCAAGAGTCCCCAGTCTACCGGAAACAATTTATGGAACCAGTCAACTTTATTCTCAGACTTCCGGTCATAGACAAGAAAATACGGGATACTATTCCATGGTAAGTTTTTGTTATAGGACAAATCATAAAACTGAAACATATGATTGGAAAAAAAAATCACATAAAAAAGTTCATTACATTATTTTGTAAAAGTATTGACATCTTAGCTTTAAACTAGAAATTAAAGAAATCCGTATTTACATCAATCCTGAAGTAAAGATTTCTCGTATTTTCACCAGTAAAGATAATATGATACACGTTATATTATATGTGGACATTATGCATTGTTGTGTACAATATTGAATTCTATTAGACGAGTACAAAGATGTCAAATCTATATTGGACGAGGCGCTATAGTTGAGAACGAGGAGGCTATATGATGTGAGATATGGATTACTGCAATGCTCAAAATTCATTGGCTATATTTTATAAGTTTTTAAAAAAATGCTTTAAGCAGACTCAAAATCAGCAATAACAAATAAATATATGTCTTTATACGTATCTGTCTTTCAGCAAACCGGATCAGAATCTCTGAAAGCTCCTAGCTCTCTAGGTCAACATTATTACGTCGACCAAATGATGAACCCTCATCCTTACAGTTCTTTGTAAGTATATCTTATACGATTAACATATTAATATGTTCTTTCAGTTTTTGTAAGAACAGGTTTTTGATATTAGTGGTGATATAACAACATGTGTTTTTTTGTTTTGTTTTTTACTTCAGTATGTCTTATGCTTATTTATTTTCAAAATAAATTGTGATACATTTGGATATTATCTCTATATCATTTCAAATAATTGATAATATTTGTTTAACAAAAATTGGATAAGAAATTCAGATTTTAGCTGAAAATCTCTCTTAAGCCTTACACATCATTAAAAGCTACATACGCGATTTTGCAGTCATTGTCACATAACCGCCTCTTATCGCTTCTTTCGCGTTGAAAAATAGTATCACCTGGTTTATGAGTTATATTGCAGTTTTGAATCATTGCTGTGATACTGCAGTTGTAAAACATGGAGTAGAATTACGATTGTTTGGGTAAATCAAGCTGTATAACTACCAGCTAAACAAATTGATTAAAGTATCTTCCTTGACCGACGCGAAGCGATATTACGTAAATCTATCAATTTGTTCATAAAATTAACCAAAGAAAATAAAAAAAATACGATTTGATATTAATTCTTCACCGTTTTTATCTTGTCAGGTACCCGGGTTTTGACGTTAATGCCATCAGAAGAAAAAATGCTACACGTGAAACCACAGGTCCTTTGAAAGCGTGGTTAAGTCAGCATAAGAAAAATCCCTATCCAACAAAAGGTGAAAAGGTCATGTTGGCAATATCAACCCGAATGACCTTGACCCAAGTATCAACGTGGTTTGCCAACGCTAGACGTCGGATGAAGAAAGACAACACCGGGGAGTATGACGACAACGATGACATCAGCGAAATCGGTAAAATTATTAATACATACTTCAATTCGAAATTGTTCAACATTAAACATACGTGAGTGAAATGCATAAATGAAAAATGGTTGACAAATCACTAAAATCAATCTAGCATTTTTTTTTTGATTGCGATTTTTTATGAATTTGATTATGGGATGGAAACAAAATAAAGTTTTTACACTTTCTTTCCTTGATAAATACAAAGATATTTAATTTTCTTGCATTGATTTTTTCAGGTCAAAGAGATCGCAGTGGCAGCCTATCAAGCCGAATGTCACATACCAGTAGCGAAGCCGACACATCCAAAGAGCTCTCAGACCTTTCCGACATTGAGGAGGCATCAGTACTCCCAAAACCAACAAAGAGACCCACTAAGAAATGCGTTCAGAGGCTATTCTCACCGGAAATTAGAACTGAAAGCAACATTGATCCATCAAGCTCGCCTGAAAGCTTACCGGATATGACGCAAATTAAAAAGGAATCGTTTGAACAACACAGACTTCCGTCAGTTGCGGAAATGATGAGAACATTGCCAAACTCTATCCCAGCACCGCCAAGAAATTTCGACGATGTTTCTAAATCTCAAAAGTCAAAGATCTGGTCAATTTCTGAAATAATTGGATCTGCATCGAAGACGATAAACACCGACAATTCAACCACCTACCCACACCCAGAAAACGCAGAACCCCACCAAGAATATTCAACATATTATCACAACAGCTCGTATTACCAGAGTCAACTGTACAACACATATTCAAATTATTACCCCACCCAGCATACCGGGTACCAGTATGACTTTACCAGTCAACTAAACACATCTGACAGTGGTTTAAGCACTTTATCAGACTCTAAAGAAAATATTGAATATTTGTAATCAAATTCTAACCATACGATCAGCAAATCCACTTCTATTTTCCATCACAATAGAGAGACAGAAATTATTTTCAAATCATGATTTATATTATTTGTTTCAAATGCTTACAACATACAAATTTATATTCGATTAAATATTGTAATAACTTATAATATCTACGTTAAAGAATGTATAAATGTGTTGTAAATATATGAATATGAATGTAAAATTGAAGAATAAAATATTTATAAAAAGTTGAGTGTTTTAGTTTAGTTAATTGCTTGGTAATTTTAAGTACAATGTAGACAATAACAATGTCAAAGCCTCCTCAATGTATACGCACATATACGGTCATCATATATTTTAACATATCTATTGTTTATTGTCAACAGCATGTCAATAGTTTCTAGTGATTAAATTGTAATTTTATTTTATAGGGCTAACTACTCGTCAAATAAATAATAATATTTGTTTTCGCCGAAGATAAAATTGGTGCACTTCTATCACAAATCCTACCAAATCGCTATTCCAATTACAAGTAGTCCTAGTTACTATAAATTTAAAACCGAGGCCCATGTAGTTTCTAGCTATGCATATTAAAAAACCCCACAACATTTGCTTATTTGTGACAGGAGTATTTTCGATACATCCTTGCATTTTTCTCCATAAAACAAAATTTCTAAAGCCCGTATGTACGGAATTCCATAAACGACAGCCTACTGTTTACTGTCAACTGCCTACTGTCAACTGCTTACTGTCAACTGCCTACTGTCAACTGCTTACTTTAAACTGCTTAATGCCTACAGCGACTGTCTAATGCTTACTGTTAATTTATAAATGCCTACTGCTACACCTGTCTAATACCCGATTAATTGCCTGAAAGTAAATGTTGACTTTTATGTCCTTCCAACGTGTTACAATGAGGCCGTTTGAAACAGTATTGGTCAAGGAATTACTCAGTATCATTTATGAAGATTTTGACTGAAACCTTGGAACTTGTTACATTTATACATGTACATGTATAATTCTCGTTTTACTAAGCAAAAAATAAGTATATATCTTTGCAGGCATCTGGAACTTTCCAAATCATAGACCTGTAAACTTTATAGAAATGTTAATCTAACCAAATATTACAAGTTTTATATTGTTCGGTAATTTTGAGCTACCAAATATAACTGCTTGCTTAATTATTTATACATGTATATCCCTGTTCAAGCTTAGATACATCTACCATATAACATGTATACATGTATTATAATATTTGTTCATTAAATGAAATTGACCCTACCCTATAACTATAGAGCTTAATGGGAGGCCTTGTAATGTCATGAACGTCTTTGATTTTACTTTTAAATCACAATGGTCAGTTTTAAGTTCGCATTTTGAAAATAATGCTATATAATGTTTTGTTAAAAAATAATCTAGGTAATGGTTCTCAAAACATAGATATATAGATTTTCAGACAATATTATATATGTATATACCACTCACGTCTCGGATTACCAGTAGTTTATTCTGATAAACGTTTTACTTAAACGTACTGGGAGAGTATACACACTTCATGGTCTAAATCATTCATGGAACCGTTTAGTTCTATCTAAAAAAGTTACTACTTGTCCTGGTGATTGTAGACCGTACATTTATACCTTAATTCTACAAAGCCTTAGATTTGACTCAAGAAAATGATGTTAAAAAAGCATGAAGAGTTACATGTCAATTATTGTGTTATAATTGTTATAATTGTAAAGTCGATGCATAATAAAATCATTGAAAGATATCTTTGAGTTACTTGGGCATTATTAATACAAAGTGTTAGTTTTTGTTTATCGATATGATGAACTGCGGTATCCTAAATTTGAGTCACTGTAATGTCTTCCGCATGTAATTTCTTAGTTTTTGCAGTATGGCCTGTGTTACATTCTGATTTTTATAATTTATGATAAAGGCATTCAAACCACATGGCAGAAAACAGATTAATCAATATATTGCTGGACGGCCGTCTTTTTACTTCATTGCCTTAAGAAAAGAGTGTTTAGGTTAACTTGTAAAGCTGTTTTGAAGAAATATATTCAGTTAACTTGCCAGATATTGGAGCTTCAGACGTATTTTTTATGGAGCTAATGATATACGTAATCTTCATCTTCCTAATACATACTTTTCGCGATCCCATCCAATTAAAATTGATGGACTAAGGGCCCGTCTACATCTATCCAAGTCTTGAATGCAAGTATCATATTCTCTCGTATTGGATAGTGTAGACACCCTACTTGGATGAGTTTTAAAGAGAAATTATGTGACATCCAAGAAGATAATTCCTTGCAAGAAAGTTAGAACACGTTCTATTTTTCTACAAGTTTTGGCTGTCAAGACACTGATAACACCGGTTTGACACAAAACATGTGCCCGAAGGTTTGATAGTGCTGTTATTTTTATTATTTTCTGACTTTTTGTTGTTGATTCAGTGTACATGTCCTTTGAATTTCAGTTAATGATTACAATGTCTTGGTCAAAGGAACAAATCAATACGCTGATACACAGAAGAGCAAAAAAAAATAAATAAATAAAAATAAATATATTGTCAAAAAATGAAAAAGAGCTCTTTTTCAAGTAGAGTCAAAATGGATTTAAAATGATCTTGTTCATTTAGTGAATAACTTTCATCGAATAAAGAATTTGCATCAAAATAAATTCTTGTCACATTTTTTCAATTTCAAAAAAGAATGAACGCATTTCATTTACTCTATTCTGTTTTAGCTAATTGCATCATTTTCCCGCTTTTTTTTCACATATTTTACAGAAACATGATAGTCTTGCAAAGACAAAGGTATAAATCCTGGGCTATCTTAATGAGACATTTTAGTAAAACTTGTGCCTGAAAAAATGTTGAAAGGGCCATTTATTTAGCTTATCTAAATGTGACATGTAAGAAACTTGAATAGGTGTAGACACGGCCTTAAGACACTGTTTAACCCATTACCCGATATACACGCCTTTTAACGCCTTTTTTCACCCTCTTTTTTGTGGTCTCAAATGGTAAAAAATGCATTATTTAGGCCCCAAACACTTGTTTTTGTTTGAGAAATGCTATTTAAAAAAGTGACCACATTTTCAGCGCCGCCCCCTACTAAAAGATACATCAGGGGGTTGCCAGAAGGAGACACAAGAAAATTTTGGGGTTTTGAGAGGCTAAAAATGACTCCAGATCGATCATAAGGTAACTTGTAACCAATGCTGAAAAGCATTTGACTCTATCTCAATCCATTTAGAAGTTGCAGTATTTTGAAATCAATTTTGATGAAAAAAATCAACGCAAAATAGTGATTCTTGGCAATTTTGAGATGTCCCCTCGTTGCCATGGTAACAGGAAACTTAAGTCTGGGCATGTTGTTACAAAGGCAATGGTCCAGTCAACATTTGTGCCAAGTTTGATTAGTATTGAAGCAGTTTTTATAGTTTTATAGCAATTTGAACTTGTAAATGGAGACTTTTCAATGAAAACAGCCATTTTTCACAAAATGCTCATGAAGTAATGGGTTAAATGTGGACAATGTTGAATATTGTTTTTTTTTAAATTGGTCATGTTACAACATTCAACAAACAAACTTTGCTTTATGGTTAACATATATATAACCATTTCCAATTCATTTTGTCATAATTTTGTTTTCCGGGGAGCTAAACATAAACAAAATTACAAGAAACTTATAATATTTTATTTTTAAAGAACTTTTTTATTTGCAATTAAAACGAAAACAAAATACACTTACTGATTATAACACCACATAAAAAGTATGTTTAGTCCCAAACATGAGACCAGTAAGCTAATATTTTCTTGTATACACCGTTATTTAAAATAAAAATTATGACACGCCTGTAAAAAATCAAAATCTATATAAAATATTTGTAAAGTTTTGGGGAAAGCAATTAATATAAAAGCAGAATTATAATTAAAAGTTTTGTTATGAATTGTATACATGTAGTTGTTATGAAATTATATTAATGTAAATATACTCTGCAATGTAAGGTGATATACACGTTGTAAGAAAGGTAACTTTAAAATGCTTCATATCATACATGTATCATAGAAGCTCTACACTATCACGATGTCTTAGAACTGTTTACCATTGTCTTGACAACTGAACTTGTCAAACCTCTAGAACCCTGTCATAGTAATGACTTTCGTTGGATGATTCTGGAAAATACGAAGGCAGATTTGCTCATTGGTTTTACTTGCGGTAATTGCAAAAAGAAATAGAAAAAATAACCAACCTAAAAGTTCACTTCTAAGTGTGTTTGTTAACAAGATAATTATAAAAATTATACAAAAGATGGATTTTAAACAAATACGTCAAAAAATATATTGTAAGATAAACATGATCATTTTGTCTATCAGAAATTTTAAGTTAATTTAAATAGTTAAGAATCTTTTATTTCTCATAGTTTTTCAATAGCACAATTGAATTTAAACAAGAGAATAACGATGGCTTTTCATAAAAGTAAAATAAGCTGGTCTAAACTGTAATTTATCACTTCTTGTTTGCACTATTTATGTCATTGCAATATTGAACGTTTTTGAAACAATTTGAATACAGCCAAGTTGGTCTTTTTTATGTTTTCAGAAGGAAGCCGAGTTAAGATCCAATACATTTATGTAGTCTTTTCCTCTTCCACTGTAATTTCAATATTTTCATACAGGTGTGTTGGTTCTGTTACTTGTCTGTGAAGTCAATGAAAGTATAGACTGTTCCTCCATTGAACTGTTTCTGTCAGATTTATCATCCTCTGTACTAGAATAAAATTGATTCTACAATTGTATTATTAACCTTCAAAGCACATATCTTTGCAACATAAACTATCAAGAGTGCAATCAACTAAACAAAAATGCATTGCATAACATCTAATAAAGAATTACACATTAATAAGCTATAACTAACAGCCAATGAAAACTGAACCTAAATGATCTCGTAAATGAACGCACACATTTTTTGATTATGAGAGAATGTTTAGCCTAAATTTCACCAGTGATTTCACCAGTATATTACAGATATTCTTCTAGAAATGTATTACATTGTCAAATGAAAGTTTAATAAGTTATGAAATTCTAAATAAAATAAGGGAGTGTTGACATAATATGGTCCAGATCTCCGCTTCTCAAATGAGGATTAGTGTTGGGCTCAAGCCCGTCCATGTTGATTATTGAACACAGATTCTTTGTGAAAATTTATTATTAAGTTGATTTACCTTAAAATGAGTCCTATATTTGACAATTTATCAATCACCTGTGCAAGAGGCACGTGGAACCATTTCATAACATAATCAATGCAGTGTGCAATGGTGGGACATACACAAGTCATTGCAATGAATTCGAAATTACAAATTATTAGGCTTAATTATAAAATAATCCTTTTTAATTTACTTACCATTGTTTTCCCAGCAGATTTTTTTTTCAACAAAATGGCGGGTGCACATGTGTGTACATTCGGAATACTTCTATTTGATCCATACATAGACTTAGACTGTCAATAAGCAGTTATAGCAGTAGGCAGTGAGCAGCAGGCTGTCCAGTTAGCAGTAGGCAGTGAGCAGGAGGCTGTCGTTTATGGAATTCCGTACGTATGAGATTTCGGTGGCAACTTTATATAAACACTTATGCATGTTACATTTTCGTAAAAGAATCTTTGATATAAAAGAGAAGGGAAAATCTTTTTTCCGACTTATTATTTGAAGTTTGGGCATTAGAAGAAAAGCCGAAATTTCGTAATTTAAACTTTTTCCCAAGGGGTTTACCCTTGCAGGGTTTTTTTCTATTTTAAAATTTTCCCTGACTCAAAAGAAAAAATATAACTTGTAGAAAGAAATTTTTATCATAAAAACGCTTTTTGAAGGGAATTTGAAAATTTTTTGCAAAAAATTTAAATTTGTAAAAACAATTTAAAAATTGGGGTTAAAAGGGAAAATTTTAATTTTCTATAAAATAGAAAAAACAAAAACCCTTTTTGGGTTAAAACACGAAAAAAATCATGACTGGGTTAAATTTTGCTGTGTTAATTTAAAATTTTTTGAGTTTCCAATTAAAAAAAAAAAAAACAATTAAGACTTAGACTGTAATATAATAGAAATATTAAAGCTAATATTTATTCCGAGGGACAAAAGAATAGAAATGGACAACTTGAACAATAAATATATAAAATAAAAGGTATCCGAGAACGAACTGTGTCGCTTTTGTGATATAGACGGGCAGCGGAAATGTTTTTACGAAAAAAAAACTTGTTTAATATGACAAAGATTTCGTTCACTACAAATATCCTGCTTAAGTATAACCTTGTCTGAATTTTTTTACGGAAGTTATCATTTATCTTTTCAAGAAAACTGTAACTAAGGGATACGAAGGGCAAACATGTTTAATAGTCCAATTATAACTTGTTGACAGGATTTACATGAAAAATACTGTTATTGTGTTAAAAGGGAAACTAAAATACCTCATACTAGCCTTTTCAAAGCCATGTTTGTGTGCCAATAAAACGGTCATTTTTTTTTAGAGATGATATTTAACACGGGTTTAGCTGTAGTTTGTTTTACTAATGAGCATATTAGTGACTGAAAGAACTCGTTTCACTGTATTTCTAGCTGATACAACACTAGCGATAAGTTTAATTCACAAAGTCAATTATACAAACATGTTTTCTTTATTTCTATATTTACAAATAAATAAATAAATAATAAATAAATTGACATTATTTACATAATTCATTTTTTCTTGAGTATTATTAAATATGCATTTCATACTAACCTTATCAACATGTTAACAAACTTTTCTTGCAAAATATTTGTTTAAAAAATAATTTTATACATAAATTTTTAAGTTTAATCGCACAATTCAAACGTTCCACATATAACTTCTATATAAAAATGTTAAACCCATATTGATTTTACATCTACTTCCTATTAATTGGTACCTTCGTATAATTAAATAAAAATAACATTAAGTGATTTAAAAAAAAAGAGTTATTCTTTCAAAATAATTAATTTTGAATAATATTATCATGTTGTCATACAAAATTCCACTGTTCTTAGAAAGTCTTATTCATTTTAAGGAGTACAGATTGCATATATTGTAATGTTTACGTAATATATCGGTCCAGAACAGAACAGGTTCAGTTTGATACCAAAAAAGTTTTAATAAGCCATAATAGATGTGTATAAAAATTAATGGAAGAATAAAACAAATTGAAGCATCAAACGTACCGTAGAGATACAATGTAAAAAGTAATTACATTTAGTTAAAGTAAGTTATTTTCAATTCACATAAAACAGCAGTAATTTCGATAATTCTAAGTCATGAAAAGGAGATAAACACATATACATGTACCTAGTGTTTGAAACTTGTTTTTTTTCCAATGACATTGCAGTATTTGAAAGGAATTGTAACTAATTAACTTAAATCGGCTAACTATAAATTAGTCTAGTAGGTCGACTGTTTATAAAAATAATTTCAAACACTAAATTGGCAAGTGTTCATTAACAAGCATTTACCAAATTAAATTGGTCGAATGGTTTTCAGGGGAGGGCCGATCGCTAATGTTATAAGAACTTGGGCCCAACCCTTTTGCTATTTGTTATTTCGAAATCAGTTTGTTTCTCTGTATATTATCATGTATATATTAGCAATAAAATATGTTTAAATGAACACTTACTTATACTTAGATACACAGTCAACACTTTAAAATATTATCCCATTTGAAAGAAAATTTGTATGTTCCAAAGGCATAATGAAACAATTATATTATTAATCATTATGTCTGCCTAGTTTTAATGTCAGTGAAAATACCGGAAGAATATGTAAAGATAATTAAAGTATTTACAAATGGCGGAAATACTATTTTGCTTGTTTAAACTATTTTAGAGCCCGTTACTGAACGTGTATCATTTTATTAATTAGAGGGAGAAATCCGAGAAACCGCACGCTATAATTTGTTCCTCCTGGTTAGTCATCCAACCTTTTGTCTCGTACCGACCCTGAAATAGATATGAAAAGGTAATATCATTATATTGGACAAACTAGTTAAATTGTTTCGTTCTCATACTGCATGACAAACATATAACAACATGCACATCTCGTCATTTCCTGACGAAACCAGGCCTGTTTATTTGATAACTGTACTTTTTTCCTTTTCTCTAATGCACGGACTTGTGTTCAGGAAAAATTATGCATATAATGAACATTTGATTTTCAAAACAGCAATACTTGAAATCCAAATACATTTCACTCTTGATTTCAGCATGACCCGATTACACATGAACACATCTGTGGATGTTTCTAAATTCAAAGTGTTTAAATATTTAGTACTATTTTAGTCGGTGCTAGGGGCGTGTACGGTAGCTTGCAACTACCACAACCATCCATGGACAGGGACCTGGGTTAATCAAACCAATACCGCAACATTTTCTATTTTTTCGTTTTGGGCATTTTTAAGGGTTCCGCTTTTTGTCTACTTTGTTTTTTTTTTTCAATATAGTTATACAAGAACATACATAATTCGCATTTAGCTGTATGCTTGCAGTATTCGAGTATGTAAGTCTATCGAAAATTGACAGATACATGTATAATATGTTTAAAAAAAAACTTCAAAAACGCTATTCTTAGCTTACGAATATAGATCTACAGTAGTCTTCTTCCGAACAAAAAAAAATCGACTTTTTTAAACATCAAGTCATTTTTTGCATGACCCGTAAGAACAGGTTTGGATCACGAGTACAAATCATACTATATTATACATTTAGAACCACCAACACTTTTTGTGAAAATAATAAAAAAAATACAAAAGTACAAAAAAATGTAAATATCTTCTGTTGGGATGTACCTTTGGTAAATATATAGGTATTTGTCTGTCCTTGACGAACGAGTACTCTCCTGGATTGAAGGGGCAATAGATCAGCCTGTCATCATAGTCTTCATCCAGGGTACATAATTCCCAGTTGTTACTGTACAAATCTTTACCATTATATTTTACTTCTAGGTAAAATCTACCACCACTTAGCTCCGAATCTGTAAATAAATGTATTTAACATTTACTTCAAAATGCATTATTTTTTGATGGAACACTATTCCTATAAAAATAAAAAGTTCTAAACTGTTAAAAATCACATTCAAACATTTATTATCAAAAGATGAATTATAGACAATACAGTCGACTCCGAGTTTATTATCATTATTATTATCATCATCATCATCATCATCATCATCATCATCATCATCATCATCATTATTATTATTATTATTATTATTATTATTATTAATTATTATTATTATTCGAATGTGGTGCCCGGACATTAGTTCCAATTATCTCGGTCCCGTCTTAGCACTCGGTCCTGTGTTAAAAAATCTAACATTTTTACATGACAAATATGAAATACTCATATCTAAATTCGTCCATGATCCAGGTGATATATATGTGTGTCATTTAATGTCATAATCAAATTCATTATTTATCAACTTGACCGGGTCGTTCATCACAAACATGTATGTATGTCAACATGTATATAATTTTGTTTTTCAACAATAGATTTAGCTGTGATATATGATAACAATTATAGATATATTATTAATATTATATGTTAAGAGTTTTTCGATATTCTGTTGTACAAGTGTATATTCATGTACATGTAAAACTTATAACAATGCATATGCAGCCGTGTTCATTGTAAGGATACGTTATCATTACAAGGTCCATGTGTTATCAGTTCTCTACTTGTAAAGGACTGTCCTGTCATGCGCAGCTGTCCTGATCCAGCTGGTCGCAACCCATGATATACGTGACACAGGCTTTTTAACTTGACGTTTCTACGTATGACATTCTACTTTGGAAACCTATTAAAAATATGAAACCTCTGTAATCAAATTAATAAAAATTTAGTTTTTGAACCAGTTAGGTCCAGGCAATCAGTCAGAAACAGGTATACACACAATAAACATTAAAATAGAAAAGAATGGACACCTTTTCCATTATTTGATATTATTTAGTATACAGAATAGAACAGATACTTTATTTTTGACATGCACAATAATACATCGTCATACAAATGTATACATATAAATATAAACACATGATCAGAACTAAACATGTCAATTTCAAATCAATATAGAGGATGAATTATTAATACATGTATATTAAGTAGTATCTACTATATCTAAGGCATTTCTATGAACCATCGCATCTCTTACATACAAGGATAAATTTAAAAGTATACCTCTATTGTTTGATTTCAGCATATCAGTGAACTTAAGCATACTAGGTCTAGTATAATAGTATCTTTTTATATGTATTGTTTCTTATAGTAATATAACAAGGAGAAATTAAAATGAAATTTTAATGAAATGGTATTCATCTTCGACGTCATGTAGATTACATTATTAACAATATCTTTCAAGTATACAGAAGGTTATTTTGGTATATTTATGACAATTGGCGATTTTAAAGGATCAGTCCCTAACACAATACCGATGCTCCCAAATATTAGACTAAAATGAGCATACCTAATGTTGTATTTATGAAAGTTCTTGCTGTGACACCCTTTATTCCGCCCCATCTTCTATCAGGTAACATAATTGTACGTCCAATCATCATTCGATCTTTCTCATCTGCAAAGAAAACATATTGGAATGGTAAAAATGTTAAATAAAATATGGAAAATGATCTGTTGTTTTTTCCCCCTTTATATATACATTTAATATCATTCCCATATCTCCGGCGTACTATACGAAACATTTCTGTTTATTGAATATAACCTTGTCTAACTGTATCACAATTAAAAGATAAAGTTTCATGTATAATAGTACTAACATAAAGCACCAAAATGGTCGTCTGAAGAGCACGACCATTATTTACATTTTTAAGCCTTAACAATTTTAACTCAAGCGAAATGTTTGTATTTTCTGCGTACGTTATAATTTTCTTTTAACATTGGTGCTAGTACATAGTGTATATACATAGTGTATAATTTAACATATAGGAAAGCAGTCATACCAGGGCTACATTTTTATTGTTCCGTATATAATTATATAAAAACTCATAATTTTCTGGTGGCACTAAGATAAAATATTAAATCAAGCACTAATAGACTATGTTGATGGCATGCAAATATTTATTTAAAAAATACATTAAATGGTAATTTTGTCATATGATCGTTACGATCGTTAAGGTTCCTTAAATCTAAATGATTTATCCTTTAAAAAAATTAATATAAAAAAACATATAAAAAAGATGCCACTTAAAGTCATTTGTTTAATTCAAATGATATATAATCCGAGCCTCAATTTACTATAGTTTTGAGACATGGCCCGTCAACAAATATCATCTCTCAATTTTCCAAATTCTTAACTAAATAGAGGCTATTCAAGTTTCTTCTATTAATGCAGGATAATTGCATACCACATGATGAAAATAAATCTTGTATTTAATAGAAAAAAAACTTGAATTTTCTGTTTATTATATACCTTTTCTCTTTTTTAATCTTATGAATAGTATGAATTCATTTTTATTTTGTGTATTGGCTGAATTAAAAAGAAAGTAGTCCGACAAGACACCAGTGAGAATACGGAAAATATGTCTCACTACAGTGAAAAATAATTTTTTACAGTGAAAATATGGAAAATAAAAATACGCATTTTATTTCATCAACATTTCTTAATATTTCATTTATAAGTACATAATAAAGGTAATGATTCTATATTATATGGCATGACTTACCGCAGTTATCATATATCTCTCCGATGGCAGTATAATCATGTTTCTTGATAAAATCTTCCCAGTATTCTAGAGCCTTTCTCTCTTCTGCTTCTATTTCTTTATCCAATTCATTCTTGTGAGAATCTTTATCTTCAAACAAACGAATTCCTTTCCGGTTTCCTCGGTTAGCTGCCATTATATTTTCCGGCGGTCCATGGTTGAAAAATGCCAGATAACAAACAAAAAATAAAACAAAAAATATCCCAAATGCTAGTATTACAGCTTTTTTACATGTTAAATTACACATTTTTCTATAAACGACTCGTAACATTTGCAAATAGAAATCAACAGAACAATCCAAATTATGTTTAGGTTACACTCTTTTATATAGTTGTCATTATTGGCAGATTACACTGTAGATTGGACATATTAAATGTTACACAATATATGATAAATTTGTATATACATTATATATACAAGTAGATGAAGAGTTTGAAGTGGGACTTTAACTGTACTATAAGTTGTTAGAAGATCAAAGTTCATGTGTCAACATCAATGTAATATTTATAGATAAAAGGACACTTAATCTTTTTAGGTTCAAAATCCAATATACAAACCTATTTAATATACAAAACTGTACATATGAACATACTGTACATATGAACATTGACTTAATTACTTATTTTATACGTTTGGCTATACATGAAATATATCAGACTTACAATGGTGATAATTTTGTCCTCTCAAAATTTTATCATGTCAATGATTTTTTCTAGTGCAATGACAAATCTAGCCGTTACAGCCAACATTCGAGAGCTAATAAACCAGTATCAAACATTACACTGGAAACAAGATTCAAAAGTTTATTGGCTAAAACATTTTACAATGTCCATCGCCATGTTTGGCGGTTCAATAACAAGTTACTTGAAGTTACTTTAGGCAGGGCATGCACGGTAGCTTGATTTAAAGGCTTCTTTCCATGAACAGGCTCAATCAAACAGAACATGCAACGTTTTTTTTTTTTCCGTTATTTTGCGTATTAAGGGACATTCATTTTTTTTTGTAATGACAACATCATGTCATGATTTAAATATGAAATACTACACCAATGCTGCTATTTTGTCTATATTATAAAGCAACCTCCTCTGAATCAGTTTAACATATTTTAAACATTAATTGCAACATAACAAACATTTATACATTGATATTGTCGGAGACCCCTTTTGGCCGATATCTAATACAATAATTATGTCTCGTGAATTTTAGATTTTTCAGGTTGACAAATAAATTATTTGTATCTTTTTTTCATGTTCTTGGAAAAGTGGGTTACGGCTTAGGAGGCTATGTCACTGATGAGCCTCACTAAGACTGAGGTACTGTTTTGAAAATACAATTATCTGCATTTCAAAATGAGCTTTGCTATAATAAAGTTTGTTTGTTTGTTTCATTTTACGCCTTTTCCAACAGTATTTCAGTTATATAGGCGGGTAGTTTCCTTACCATCGTTCCTGGAGAGTTACACCAGTACCAGACTACCTTCCCCCGCGCTAAACTACCAAAGCATCTCCCGGGGATCGAACCCACGTCAGAGAGGTAACTGAATTAGAAGTCATCGACTCTAACCCCTCGACCACGGAGAAAAGTACATGTATTGTAATAGGTTTGTGTATCTGATCTTATCTTACTATGACGTTGTCTGCGGGGGTAAGAGAATATAGAGGTCAGTCAGGACTGAGACCCACTTAACCCAATATTGTAAACTACTGACTCATACGTATAAACAACAAACATTGCTACAATTTTTCTGTCAATTTTACTAACAAAAGTGATCTACAAAATAAACACAGGCCTATTTCGATGCATATTTACTGCAGATAGCCAATACTCTTTTCAACACAACATCAACAAATTATACATTTACAGTTTTTCATACATATATTATATATATCTGATATGCCTAAATATTTGTGATGATAATAACATTGGACCTCATGGCCATGCTCAAATAGTGACTAGGCAGTTTTCACCATGTATATCATAGTCATTATATACTAAACGGGACCTTTATTAATTTCAACTGTCATCATTTTAATTCCGTAGTCAATGTAAAATATCACTTAACTTTAAATTTATATTATTAAAAATGAATAATTTCATAATTAAAATACAACCAAGTTTGTAATAATAATAATAATGAATTTTATATGACTTCCCTTTTATTTCCTAATGACTAATTCTAAATTTTTATAGAAAAGAAACAAGACCTGTCGTTGGACACAGATAAAAATGACCAAAAGCTGTGCCCACAATAAGGACCTTGTCCTTTAATTTACAACAAAGACATGATTACTGTTAAATAGAGTGTTACACCAAAAAATAAGAAATATTTATTGGTGTTTTAGTGTGTCCTCTTTATGTACCACAAAATAATGCACAGTTATTTCAAAATCCATTCATGAAAGACAGAATGAACGGACATGATGATCAATGCAATTATCATGTCTTTTGAAAAGTGTGACCTTGACCTTTGGCTAGCTTAATGTATAACAAATGTATGTACAAAACACGACCTGACCTTGACCTTTGAGCTGGATACTTATTTCTTGTGCACAACACGTCATCTTAGACACGAAACAAATTTATGCAAATTTATTTTAAAATCCATCTATGAATGACAGAATGAACGGACATGATCATTTGTGCATTTGATCCTGTCCTACAATTTATGGACTTGCGCGTCACATATCATCTGAATGTGCAACATTTTTTTGCAAACTAATTAAATAACGAAGTTATGGACACGAAAAAAGTGAAAAAAACTTTATGCCACTTTTTTGGGGGCATACAAAATGCGCATTTTAAAAAGACATATTAAGTCAGATACTTTAATGTAGATCAAACAATTTAAAACCAGTTGTATTTATATATGACCTTATACAGTGAAGAAGTACAACATAGCAAAATCCCTTCCTTAATTTGAACACTAATATCTACACACTCCTACATTTTAACACACAAACATGCACAAAGGTTTGACTGGGTATTTTGTACTGACCTATCTGGTGGTCATAGTTTTACAGTTGACTGATCAAATATTAATCTTTAACTGTAATCTCTATAAATATCTATAAAATACAAGTAATATATAACCTCAGGTCCTTAGAGAATAGTAAGGCAAATCGGGCCAGAAAAACTACTGTAAAATTCTTACCCTGTCACAATAGTCAGATTAGTTTTTTTGTTTTTTGTATGCCGATTTTAACATTTATAGGCAAGGTAAATTACCTGGTAAATTTTGCAAAAAAAGAGAGCAAGAAAGCAATACCAAAATTCAATTCCTCACTGTATCTTCTAGTTAACTGGATTACCAACTATTGAGTCAAAAACAAATTGAGCCGCGTCACGACAAAACCAACTTAGTGCGTTTGCGACCAGCATGGATCCAGACCAGCCTGCATATCCGCGCAGTCTGATCAGAATCCATGCTGTTTGCTTACTAACCCTATAACAAGTAGAGAAACTGTAAAGTGAACAGCATGGATCCTGATCAGACTGCGCGGATGCGCAGGCTGGTCTGGATCCATGCTGTCGCAAACGCATTATGTTGGATTTGTCGTGACGCGGCTCAATTTGTTTTTGACTCAATAGTTGGTAGCTGCAGTAAAATATATCAAGCACAATGTCAAGTTATTTCTTGCAGGTAAGTGAAGAAAGAATAAAAATACATAAACTCATCTTTTAAGTTATACAGAATATTAGGACACCTGTGTGTTATCAGTTTCATTACAGATTAATGTCTATAAACAAAACTTTTTGTTAAGAAATATAAATGAAGGGACTATTCATCAATGACTAGACAAGATGCTTTGTTTAAACTATAACATTAAATCTAAGATCTTTTCATGAATATAAACATATGATATCAATTTATCTTATAACAATAGTTCCAAATCAAGTCAAAATTAAATACATAAGGATAGGTTTAAATCACACCTACAAAGGATAGTTCTAACTCAGATCAATTGGAAGATAGTTCTAAATCAGATCTATTGGAGGATAGTTCTAACTCAGATCTGTTGGAAGATAGTTCTAACTCAGATCTATTGGAGGATAGTTCTAACTAGGATCTATTGGAGGATAGTTCTAACTCAGATCTATTGGAGGATAGTTCTAACTCAGATCTATTGGAGGATAGTTCTAACTCAGATCTATTGGAGGATAGTTCTAACTCAGATCTATTGGAGGAAAGTTCTAACTAGGATCTATTGGAGGATAGTTCTAACTCAGATCTATTGGAGGATAGTTCTAACTCAGATCTATTGCAATTATATTTTTTCTTTTGTTTCTTCACAACTTAAAGGTAATTCTGTAATAACAGTACATAACACCATATTGATATTTCATCATTTTATGAACATCAGAAAGATGGTTCTTGTAACAAAATAAAGTACAAATGTTTTATTGTTTATAGGTCCATATGCTATTACTCATCCTTTTTAAGATATAAAATATTTTCACATCGTGAAATTCATTAAGGATTTTCATCTGTTTCAAAGGGAAAATTTATATTGTTAACATGTGCCTGCAATAAACACTTCAAATCACATTAAAAGATAAAAACAGTGACACACATTGTTTTGTACATTTGAACACAATCATAAAGTACATTCAATCTTAGTTTAAAAATCAAACTGACTAAAAATTCACAACATTCTAGCAACTATTCTGTTGTCATGGCAAACAAAGCATTGCACTTATACATGTATCTCCTACAACTAATTAGATTAAATAAAGCACTAACACAGCTTTATAACACAGTAAGCTAAGCTTTAATTTGTGCAACATAAAATATCTACTGACTTACATGAACATTTCCTTATAAATAAACACACTATAAGCAAAGTAACAATTCAAAAAGGGAGACAATTAGTCTAAAATGAAACCCCAAGGAAGTTGTAGTATAAATCTTACTTTATATATAAATATCTGCAATAAATGACTAACTTATATCTTATGTCTATTACATAGTATTCCACAAATAATTTCATCAATAAATATTTTAATTATTCCAACCATCTCAATTCATTCAATATGAAACCCCTATTTTTATAATAATTCCTAGCATAAATCATTTAAATAAGACACCAAGATCAAATCATTACTAACAAGCAATTATCATAGTATTGCAAGCAATCCATAAGTCCCCTACCGGTAAGAGCCCAAGCAACATTCTGAAGGGCCATTTGCCATTCACTTATGTTCCTATTTTAAGTAAATTTGTTGAAAAAGTTCTTTAAAAGTGATCACAGGAAACAGTTTTTATGTACAGACAGACAGACTGAAGGACACTCTAAAGTTATTTTTTAAACATCCATGTTATCAAAATATAACATTTTTAAAATCCTATCATGATTGAAGAAGTTGGAGTAAAAATTACCAATTTCTAAAAAAAGAGTCCAAGTTCAAAAGGGGCATAATTCTGGAAATAGTCTTGCTAGAGTATTGAACACTCACAAATGTTGAGTGATAATAAGAAACATTATATGAAGTTTGAAGTAGATACATTCAGAAAAAGATGTTATTAAAAAAAAATCGATGTTTTTTTCATGAAAATTTTAAGTTCAAGGGAGGTAATTCTGATAAATTTTGTGCTAGAGTTGTAAACCTTGTCACATATGATGTGGTTGATGACAAGCAACTTATATTTAAAGTTTGAAGAAAATACCTTCAGAAATAAAGAACTTATAGTGAAAAAACTTAAAAACTAGAATCAGAAATCTTGAAATTCAGTCTATTTGTTGCCATAGCAACCAGAATTTTCAACATAGGAAGAAAAGAAAAAGACGTGCATAATCTCCATACTGCCATCTATCCATATATCAAGTTTCATTAAAATATTTTCAGTACTTTTTGCGTTATCGCGGGATCCAGTTTTGCGGACAGACGGACTGACGGACGGACGGACTGACGGACAGACGGACGGAGGGTAAACCTAAAGTCCCCTCCGGTAAACCGGTAGGGGACTAAAAAGAAATTTCTCTTCAGTTTAGTTTAAACATTATTTATTTCAGCTTGATTGTGAATCAAAGTCTGTAACTTTAATGAACCACTCTAGAACCTGCTTCCTGGAACCAAACCAGTTCTGTTGTCAAGTTATTATCTCCACTATGACTCACATCTGCAAAAACTTTAACCACTAAGCCACATTTCACACAGTTTCTTGATAATGAATTGCTCCAGGAAATACGTATATTTAACACTTATAAGTGCTCCAGTTAATAATGATTTTATCATTATATAACAGTTAACATGCCACTTCAATTTGAAATCTTACGGTATCTGAACAGTTGACACTCACAGTGCTTTGATTTATATTAACAAATGCTCATTGTCATGAAGCCTGACATACATGTAGGAAATTTTATATCTCAATCTCCTCAATACTTCTGACTTATTTTCTTGACAAAAATAAAGTATAAAAATTACAAAGTGCAATAACTCCAAATTTATTGTTCCTGGACACTGCAATTCTCATTAATGAACCTAAGAAGTTACAAGTTGATACCTAAAATAGTTTTTTAGTTAAGTGCCAGTCCCTTTGACAAGGTAATACTAGTATCAGTTTACACCACCCCCTACAACTTTAGGATGTGTGTTTTTTTTTTTTTTTTTTTTTTTTGGGGGGGGGGGGGGGGTATTTAAACTTTATATGCTGTTATAGTTTCAGCCTCTCTAGAATAAACCCCAAATATCAAATAAGTTATAAATAATCATGTATGAATATTCTAAAATAAAACAGCACCTTTTAGTATACAAATGTAGACATGTAGATAATTCTCCAGTTACAAAATGTCATATCATAGGTAACAAAATAAACAAGTTGATACCATTTGAAATATCAGTAGAAAAGACTTTGTCTATCATTATATAACAATGTTATTAAACTTAAAGGTATATACTGAAACATATAAGCTCTGTATGTTTCTAACTGACATCATGTACCAAATATAATCAGCTTAACTTTTTTTCCCCAATATTAAATAATTTAACAACTTATAATGAGTATAAAAACACCTCAGTTTGATTTAAACTCATACTTTTAAAATAAAACCCTTGCTCTAATCTATCACCTTAATTAATCTATAAATTGTTGAATTTCAACAGAAGAAAAATAAATACATAATTACAAAAACAAAACCAACAACAATTTATTGCAGCAGCATTACAACTAAATAATAAATACAAACTTAAAATAAGATTATTAAAAACCAAAAAAATAAAACCCCACAATGCTATAGAACACATTTATAAAACTAAATAAACAAAATACATAAAAAAAATTCCCTATATAAAATGAAAATATAAGCTATAATAATACTTTCATCTAGCAAATACAATGTATGTGCGTATATTAAAACAATACACAAGATTCTCGGAACACAAGATATGCATGGCCCTGCCACTAGGAACAACAAATAAATGCAGGTAAAGTAAATAATGTGCGGGACCAAGTATCTATATATAATACTGGCTTCATTTAATCTATAATTCTATTATATTATATGGATACATCATACAAATTGTTTAACTGTGTTTACCAGGGTCTTTCAACAAAATATCAAATTCACTGTTTGTGGTTTATTATAATATGGTCAAATTCACTGTTTCACTGTACAAGCTACATGTATATATGCAATAAACTTTTCATCATAAACTATTATTGACTGCTACTTTTGTCCACTGAACACAAAATTTTAAATATAGTATATGTCATATTTTTTGATTTATCTCAATACAGGAATGGAGCAGTACCTGTAGACACTTGCAGAAATCATGATCACAAAATAGACAAATATCGTTTTTTCGCCGATTTTTACATTTTTCATTAATTATCAGACATAAATCGGTGTGAAAAGATGAAATAGACGTTTTTAAGTTCATTCCGTTGGGTGAAAAAGCAAGATTTTGGCATTTTATCGTTCAAGCGCCTTGTCCGGTATATACCGGCATACGATTTTAAGTGTGGTGCTCCAATCCTTTTTTTTAGTCTCACTCAATATTTTTTATGTACATGAAATTCTGATTTTATCAAGATCATTAACTTCCAATTAAATTCAAATAACCTACACAAAGTCAATTTTTTAACATAATTCTTGAATAATTAGATCTAGAACAAAGTTATAGAGATTCAATAATGGTCAAAACTTGATTAACCTACAGGCTCCCACTGCTTGATAACTTCAACATGCAACCAATATAATGACAGACAAAATGCCGTAGTTTTTTAAAACAATTCTTACAGGAATAAATATCACAAAGTGTGCTAGTTTAAAACAGCAAAATGGTACAAAAATATGTCTAGATACTGTGTTTACTGGAAGAGACAATATGGAAGCGTTACTATATGCCAGTAAACTGAACAAAGAAAGTTACTTTTCACACATGATATATATACATAATAAAGCATAATAAAATAACACAATAATAGACACAGACTAGCTGCATGCAGTATATACACTAAACAATAAAATATAGCTTTATCACAAATTTATACAACAAATGTATGTTTTTGACATGTAGAATTAACAACAATTTAACATCAATATAGAGCTAAATTAACTCTCCTAATAGGAACACAACTCCATTTATTCATGTAAACAGTATTCTAAACTTGTCATATTCATATAAACAGTATTCTAAAATTGTCCTATTCATGTAAACAGTACTCTTAAGTTGTCATATTCATGTAAACTCCACATTCTTTACTTAACATAGAGTAATCTAAATTATTGAAATGAACATAATGTTTTTTTTCATTCTTGTAAGCAAACACATTTTTATACTCCTGTTTAAAGTCAACAGTCTCACATTCATTAACATAATACATTTTTACATATTTACATTTTCACTTCAAGACATTTGAGGGGAAGAACCGATTGCTAATGTTGTAAGAACTTGGGCCCCGCCCTTTTGCTATTTGTTATTTCAAAATCAATTTGTTTCTCTGTATATTCACATGTGTATATTAGCAATAAAATATGATTAGACAAAAAGACATTTGATACCTGTTAAATTCAATAATGTCTATAAAATGTTAAAAGAATCCTTTTTCTTGACATCTTTTACACAGTTCCATTAAACAAAATAATTTCCTTCTCTTGTAAAAGCATTACCAGTGCCTTACTCCTGTTTTAAAACACAATTTCATATACCAAAACATCTGCTTCATTTCCAGAAACAACATCATTTATACAAAAAAAAACAAAAAACGACACATTTCAACGTAACCTTAAAAAAACAATTAATAAACAACCATCCCCAAATCATTTGAACACAGTTTTGTCATGACTATAGTTTTAAAAAACAAAAGAAAAAAATAACTGATAAAAAGTCGGTTTGTATTATTAGTTTAATTTCCTAATTTATGATACATGTTGTTTATTATGTTATTTACTCTTCAAAATAAAATATGTTATGAACACTTAACTAGTTAAAAGGGTGCTCACTTCAATTATAAAAGTTACAAATAACACTGGCAGCAGATTTATTAAGAAGTCTCAACTAAATTTAGTTCAAATACCCAATGAAATGGCACAAAGATAATTAAATGCTTTCAATCTATCAATCAATTATGATCTATTTAATCATACAAAAAACTTGTCATATTAACAACCTCGTGTTTAAGAATAAATCACTTTTATATTTGTTAAAAAAATCAACAACAAAAATACAGGGGTACTTAAACAGGATTATTTTGAAAATATTTACATTTCAAAGAAACATTTCAAAGTTATTGAGACATGTTAAAAATCACATTAGTTTTTAATATCTTGAAACTTGTAAACAAAAACCAATCATCAGATCTTTAAAAAAATGTTTTTACATGTATAATGATTTCTTGGTACCCTCATAAATGCAGTCATGTAAAATACAACCAGACTAAATTATTCCAAAGGACATGGCATAAAAGGTGACTCTTTTACTGATATATATTAAAAACCTAGGGACAAAATCAATTTTATTTTAAAATACTGGGATTGTAAGACTTTCAGATTAGTAAAAATAATAAGCATGATCACAAATGTATTTTTCAATTATCTAAATATTTACAATTAAAAGTAACTTTATCACTTTAAAATTGTTTGGCAGGTGGTAGGAGGGGAGAGCAACCTATTACAGGGACATTACAAGATTTTATGTCATCATAAAATTATTATGACATGCTAAACAGTCAATAAATAAGTGATATATGTGCATAAAAATTACTAAAAAATTTTACTTCACAAAATAATAAACATATTTCATTTCCCTCTTTTTACTTCATATTATTTTTATACCATTAAAGCTGCATGCCTCCAGAAGAGTCAAATTTTTTGACAAAAACAACTTTAAGAAAAAAATTCTAAGATTTTATAAAAGATCACATTTTAATAATTCTTATAATTATTTACATTTTACATGCAATAAATGTCTGATTTTGAAGTATTTATCACCTTATTTCTAATGCATGACTAACACAGTAAGAGTGTTTTTGAATATTCTGACACTTATTTGGTAATTTACATGGATTGAAAGTGTCATTTGCAATGTGTTATTTTTTTTCTTTGTTCACTTTTAAATATTTTACTTTTTAATACATTTTCAAACTTTTTATGAAAATTGGTATGAATTTGGAGGCATGCTGCTTTAACCATTGTACAACTTGACCAACACTTCTTATAGAGATAAAAACAAGGTGCTATAACAAATCAGTGGTTATAACAATCTTAATAGACATTATTGCATGTCAAACTCTAATTTCATGTTGACCTTATTTTCTTTCTTGGTACATATAAAACTGCAACATAATCATTATAGCTCAACAACATCTGTTCAGTGATTTTTCTCACTTCATTGGGATGAGGCCTTAGCTTTTGAGAAAATTTGTAGCTAAAATTTCCAATTTGCAAAGTAAAAAAGCTGGTGTAAGTTCAGATTTTTGGGAAAACCATATGATTTCAAAGAAAAATTCAATTGGAAAGAGGCCTTTTATAAGCCTCAGTTATATAAGGTGAAAAATCACTGCACTTTCATCTTCTTAGTACACATAAACTTGTTACACAAACTAATAACATCTGCCGCAAAGGGCAAGATACTACTATTTTACTAGATCTATTACTTTATGTGTAATTTATATCTGATTGTTCACAATTTCTCACATTTTCCTTATTACGCAAGAGTTTTTAATGTAATATTATCAATGTTCCCTAATTGTCTTATTTCCCACCGAAACAACAAGGAAACTTGTGAACTAAAATTGAAATTATGTTTTTATGTAGCTTAAAAGTAAAATATCTAAAACTAGATCTACCCTAAACATCCTGAACATAACAATGATCTCACTCCCATCTTCTTGGTACACACAAACTGATGACATCATGAGTACAGCAAACACTTTTAATCTTGTTACACACAATGATGATATCATAAATAGTGATGACCTAACTTGATTCTTTTTGGTACATATAAATTGCTGACATCATGAATAGTGATGACCTTGCTTGATTCTTTTTGGTACACATAAACTGATGAAATCATGAATCAATAGTGATGACCTTGCTTGAATCTTTTTGGTACACATAAATTGATGACATCATGAATAGATAGTGATGACCTCACTTCCACTTCCTCTTACCATCAGCACATTATCTAGACCTTCAGTGAGAACCTCCAAAAATTCCATGTCTTAAATCAGTTAAGGATAATTATGGTTTGTTTATATAAAACATTTCTTAAGAACATAAAAACAACTACAATTCTATGATTGACTTCAAACCCCTTGCCGTTCATTGATTAAGGTTCAAGCTGCACATGCAAGCATCTTTAAATTCTTTCACATGAGACAGGTATATCCAGCTAGCTTACGGAACGTTGGTGGTTCTACTTGGATGCCCCTTTGTGCCTGAAATAACACATAGAGGGGCACCCGAAGTCTTCCTCCACCAGTAAAGCCACATGACCTATACTGTGTTGGTGCGACATAAAACCTAATAAAAATCTCTTTGAGGTATCTTTATTGACATTCTTAACATTGATTTTTGAGGACCAATCAAAGATATAAGATGTACCTCTAAAAAATATATTATCAAGCTTAGAGTAATTACAGTATAGCAGTTACACATATCATTTCTACAGTAATGTTACACAAACCACGACTAATATTAAGATACACATATCATAAAACATAATGTTACATATATAATGACTACAGATCAATGATTTACATATCATGACTACAGTAATGTTACATATTCTATGACTACAGTAATGTTAAACATATCATGACTACAGTAATGTTAAACATATCATGACTACAGTAATGTTACATATTCTATGACTACAGTAATGTTAAACATATCATGACTACAGTAATGTTAAACATATCATGACTACAGTAATGTTACACATATCATGACTACAGTAATGTTACACATATCATGACTACAGTAATGTTACATATTCTATGACTACAGTAATGTTAAACATATCATGACTACAGTAATGTTAAACATATCATGACTACAGTAATGTTACATATTCTATGACTACAGTAATGTTAAACATATCATGACTACAGTAATGTTAAACATATCATGATTACAGTAATGTTACACAGATCATGACTACAGTAATGTTAAACATATCATGACTACAGTAATGTTAAACATATCATGATTACAGTAATGTTACACAGATCATGACTACAGTAATGTTAAACATATCATGACTACAGTAATGTTAAACATATCATGATTACAGTAATGTTACACAGATCATGACTACAGTTGTGGTGCACATAACATGATGACACATTTTTTGTCTAAAGTAATGTTAAACAGATCATGACTTCAGTAATGTTACACATTTCATGACTTCAGTAATGTTACACATTTCATGACTACAGTAATGTTACACATATCATGACTATAGTTATGCTACACATTTCATGACTACAGTAATGTTACACATATCATGACTACAGTTACATTACACATAACATGACTACAGTAATGTTACATATTTTACGACTACAGTAATGCTACACATTTCATGACTACAATAATGTTACACATATCGTGACTACATTTAGTAACTATTATAATAAGCAAAAAAAAGCTTCATATAATTTCACATGTAAGATTAAGGATACAGTTCAGTTCACCTGACTCATTCTTTGGTGGAGCTGGAAGATTCAATATCACAAGTTTGGCTTCATGAGATTTCTGTATTATCACCTCATTTAGACGGACAGCTGTGTGCATTCTACGTACATTCTTTTGATCTCTGTAATACAAAAAAAAATTGTTCAAAATTCTTTACAGAAATCATTTTCACTTATCAGACACATTTAAGTGATGCATTTTGAAAGATCTCAAATCGAGGGCTAAGAGCAAAACTTATGTTAATTCATAGAAATTATCCATGGTGTGGCTTGTAGGATAGCATATATTACATATAATAATACGTTGTGGTTATTTTGATAAAATTATACATATATCTCTCGATTTTACCACTGTATCATTCCACAGTGAGTTGGTATGACAGTTACTTACATACTGGAAATATCATATTTCATAAAGTTTTTGAATTGCTCAAAATATATGAGCTGTGTCACGACAAAACCATAGTGCCTTTGCGACCAGCATGGATCCAGACCAGCCTGCGCATCCGTTCAGTCTGATCAGGATCCATGCTGTTCGCCTTCAAACCTTATTGGAGTAAGAGAAACTGATAGCGAACAGCATGGATCCTGATCAGACTGCGCGGATGCGCAGGCTGGTCTGGATCCATGATGCTGGTCGCAAAAGCATTATGTTGGTTTTGTCATGACACGGCTCATATTTTGCTGGTTTAAGCTTTATATACTTTATATAATCATGTAAGTCTCAAAACAGTTTAATAACATAATTTATTCTTAGTATTTGAAGAAATGACACAAAACTTAATTTTTCAAGAAAAAAAAAACTTTTATAAAATGCACATGAAATATCCCGTTGAAAGCAGATTATTGATTCTATAAAATGAAGTTAATGACATTATGAAACTAATATAAAATAATCTAAAATTTCACCTTAAAAAAAGGATGTTTATGGGAGAAAAATGGCCTTCACTAACCAAGTTACAAGCTTAATTGATTTTACACAAAGAGTCAGTTTTGAGGAAATTACTCTGAAATGGGCCAGTTTCTTGTTAATTGAATAATTCAAAACTTGTCAGAAATATTGAAAAATTAGATTGCTGACACAATTTGGAATACAAGAGCATACACTGTTAACATTCGAATGTTAAAATAACCAACTTTGATAAAAAAAAATTTAGTTAAAAAGGAGAATAACTCTAAAAATATCTTTCAAAATTATGTCCCTTGTCTAGCAACATGACAAGCAAGAATTCCAAGTTTCATATTGATACCTTTAGAAGTGTTTGAGTTATAGGCTACCTTAAAGTTTTGACCGAGGACAAGTTTTCACAGTCACTTGAACAATAATGATACCGCAGCAATCATATTAGCTCCTTTTTTTTTCTACTTTGTTATTTCTTGCTTAACATTTTAAATGGCTTGTGTTTAAATATACAAGCTGGATAGTTTGCTCACATGACAGAAGTAACTTGCCCAACACGATTCAAATCTACAGTAGCGAGAGTCAAGTTTAAAAGGTGAACATTACAATTTTACCAAACACAATTCTTTTTTAAAACATAAAATATTAATATTTTGCATGGAGGGGGTGTCTGACCTCTAAGTGAAAACTTCATGTGTTGGTATGGTTTAATGTTGCTTTTTTTAAAAAAAAAATTTTAAACAAATTAAAAGGCTCATCAAATTTGAAAATTGTTTTTCTTTGGCGGAGTAAAAACTGCTTTTGGATTTGTAAGTTTAAATCCTTAGGAAAAAAATCCAACATGAAGCTGTAACAACATGTGAAGTTTTCACTTAAAAACTTCAAATAATCAACAAAGGTAACACTCAAACAGTGATAACAATTTGCCTATACCACCATGCGGCAGTCTGAACAGACTCTATACTAAAACTTAATGGAAGCATTATGATATCAAAACCCCTAAAATTGATAATGGATTTTTCCAAAATTAAAAGCAGTGTGCAACCATTTCATAAATAAAGGTTGGTAAGAACAAGACCAATTAATCATATTCTCTGGTTATCTAACATATTATAATTTATACTCACGGTTTAATATCAAGGACATTTTTGTTGATGGAGGAGGCCATTTCCTCCATGGACACACCTTCCTGTCTAAAGTTGGGTGAGAATGTATACTGATTTCTCTCTGACAACTTCTCCTCATCTGTAGTAGATTCTTCAGTCACCGTGTCTAACTTCACTGAAAAATCATCACAGTTTATATATTAACTGGTCAAAACTATGACATCTGTCTGTAAAACAAATACTGTAATTTCAATCATTCTTGCCAATAAAAGAACATAACAACTAGATTATAAATGTGACACAAATTCCATTGTTTTGTCAGTCTATGGACGCACAGTGTGACAGAAACCAGACAACAAGGGCAAATATATATTCCCCTTCCCTAACTAGAGGGTGTATAAAAACTTGATTTCTGAACAGATTATTATCATTGTTTTATACATCAGCCATTTATCCATTTCAGACAGTATTTTTTATCTTCTGACAATGCTAATTTTTTTTCTAGATTTTCTTTTCTTTCATTCTCTCTACTTTTACTTTGATAATTCTTTTAAATGTTCCTTTAAGACAGAGAAAATATTGATGCCTTCAGGTAGGGTGGTTCGGCTATAATAAATAATATTATATAATGGTTATCATTAAAGGACAGAGATCATAATTTGACCTATGAATTCACGTAGAGGATGTGGCTATTATAAATATTATTACCTTTGACTTCAGGAAGTGAGGCTCGGCTATTATCTACAATAGTCTGTGGTTGTATTTTACCAACTCTCATGTTCTTTAACATCTCTGTCCTCTGTTCCATCATCAATGTTCTCTCGTATGTGTAAGCTGTTATATCACTTTCTGCCTGTAATACACAATTTACCAAGGTGCTTTTAACGTAAACATTATATTCAAATTAACCAAATCACCATTTACTGTATACTGTTTCAAAATTGTTAACAACTGAATTATCTTTGGCAATGATAATGATTTTTTCTTTACAAAAAAATAATCTTTTTCGAGTTTACCAGTTAGTGGTTACCCCATCCTGTAACAACCATTGTCAGTTAAAGTCCTACTTCATCATAAATGAGGCAATTTCAGTCTACAACTTCACTTATTTTTCCTCTTCCCATTTATATTTCATGTTTACCAGACCCTCATATCTCAACGTTTACACACATGTTTAGTAGCTTTAAACACTCTTTACATCTTAATGAATATTACAAATTGAACAGAACAATATGTGTAACCAATTTACTGTCTAGACGTAACTTACTGTTGATTCATTCCTACCCATATTCCTATTAATTCTAAAGAGTTTACAAGAAAGGAATTTTCTTGGTATGCAATATATTTATATTCATTTTTGGGAAGTAACAATATATATAGACCATAGACCAACAAATACTTCATTTAAGTAATAAGTTTTCATAACAGTACATATGATTCAATTAATATGTAAGTAATTTCTATATTGGCTGAAAGGAAAGCACTATGTTACTATAGAAACTGACCATTTCTACGACTTCAACATCTGCCTGTATTCTAAGTTGGTACATAAACTTCTGTAAGTCACTCTTCATCTGTATAGTGTTGTCTTCAAGCTCTGGTCACTTTGTTAAGGTCATTAATTTATTAAATCATCATAGTTTATGTTTATACATATGAAAAACACCATTTTCTTACACTACAAAGATTAATATATATGTATAACAAGATGAATTTGAAAAATACAATGCTTACATGCAATATCTGTAAACAAATAAAGAAAAACTGTCAGAGATTAGAAAATTTTACCTATATTGGTCAAGGGTAATTAGAGGTCACTGTAATGTATCAAGGTAAAGCTCTTGTCTAAAGATTGTGTTATGTTGTGGTAAAGTTTTCCTTAGAAATCTATTGATATCAGGCATAAAAATGTAGCAATAATAGTTACAAAAATTCAGCAATCATTGCTTTTAAATCATAATTCAAAATATGAATGTCTTAGATAAAATAATCTGATAAATGGTATAAATGGAAATCTCTTTCTTAATTTCAAGTGGATATTTGATTACATCTTGTGTGAGTTATTGTATACTATAAAAGATAAAGGCCTTGTTTATTATAGTGACACCCCTACTGAAAGGGTCAGCCATTTCCATGAGACACCTTTTGCTTGTATACCATGTACCTCCCAACTCCTACCACTATGCCAGGCACCAGGCAGATAGAAATCAGTAACCATTCATTTTAACTATATGTGCCAGGCACCAGGCGGATAGAAATCGGTAACCATTCATTTTAACTATATGTGCCAGGCACCAGGCGGATAGAAATCGGTAACTATTCATTTTAACTATATGTGCCAGGCACCAGGCGGATAGAAATCAGTAACCATTCATTTTAACTATATGTGTCAGGCACCAGGTGGATAGAAATCGGTAACTATTCATTTTAACTATATGTGCCAGGCACCAGGCGGATAGAAATCGGTAACTATTCATTTTAACTATAAGTATATGTGCCAGGCACCAGACCGATAGAAATCGTTAACCATTCATTTTAACTATACATGTATATAAAAGGATACGAGCTACAGTAAATATCCTAAGTTTACAATTTTTCCAGGTTTTATGTTGTTTTAGCAAGAATGGTAGCAACATCAGTAAACCACCATCATGAACTATCCACCATATATCTATTGTACCCTTCAACTTCTCTGAACTGGATGGGAAATGAGTAGCTCCCTTTATCACAAGTAACGCCATTTGTCCTGCACCAATATTATTCACAGTATCTTGAAGAAATAGAAATCAAGTTGTAATTCTCTCATAAAATATCAAATGTCAAAACTGATAACAAAATATAAATATTTAAATTATAACTCAATGTTAGTTGAAAATCATCAAAAGACCACTTTATATAAGATTTGCATTATAACAATATGACTCTTTTATATTAACTCTTTCTGATTCTTTTACATTAACTCTTTCTATAACAAAAATTCTGTTATTTCATCCATTTTCATATCCTTTTTCTTCTATTTTTCAGAAATTATACAATTCAAATTCAGTTTTTTATTTTAAACAACTCACCAAGAAAGACTTTATAACTCCTTTCATCTATGTTATGTCTCCAACCGTATGGCCAGCCCAACATTACTGTGTTGTGTCTGAGACCTCCTAAACCTGAATTCTGTACTCTGTAAACATAACAATACATAACAGTAACAGTTTTTGAGAAATTTATTAGAAAATTAGTGTTTTATTAAGGAAAACAAATCAATAATAAAATTCCTTTCCATCATTATGCCTTCTACACCTATGTCCAAAAACATTTGTAAGAAAGTTGAATTATATAAATAGAAAACTCCAGCCAACTCGATACCCGGATGGCGCAGGTCACTTGTTGTGGTTGATTATTAAATCCTTTCCTTTCTCATCCACACTGTACCTCTGCTAGTAATGGTAAACTGCTTGACAGTCTGCTCAGGCAGGAAGGATGCAGTTGCTGAACTGTGCTCTGATAAATTCAATGTGGCTTACTGTTGTGATCCAGAGTGAAAACTACCAACACCACCTTTATGTTGCATCTACAATATAGGTCTTATGGCAACTTTCCAGCTTAAATATTCAAAGAAAACCTCAAGTGCCCTTGCAAGTATTATTTCAGGCATGAACGGGCACCTGAGTAGAATGGCTGAACCATCAATGTTTCATAACCTATCTGGATAGCTTACTCACATAAAATAGCTTCTTCACATCAAAGTATCTAAAGTCCCTGTTGGGATTCGAACCCGCAGCAGTGAGGGATAAGTGGTTTGAAGTCAATGACCTTAACCATTCTGCCACTGACACCTCAACAGTCCACTTAAGAGAGAAATATTTAACTTACAGATGACAGAGTCCACTGGTGACACTCTCTGTGACAACAACATCAGCAAACCCTTTCACTCCTGTCTGATCTATCACTTTCTGTAGATTCTGTAAAATAAATGTTTACATTAAACAAATTATGTTCATAAAGCACAAATGTCCTCATCTCATATCTGTTTATAAAGTTATTGTAAATGCTTCTGCATTTTGAAATTAATTTTGAAGATCTATCAATAGATAATACTTTAACTTAAGGCAGGATATCAATTTTCCAACACTGCTCCTACCAATATATATAGAGCCTCAGATAGCTACGATAACATTGTATTTATTCCAAAATATTTATGAATCTTGCAGAAATGTCTATAAAATAATAACCTGTTTGGCAGCCTGAGCATCTGCATATCTTTCTGTCCATTTTCCTTCCAGCACACTCGTTACTAGTGTTAATCCTTTCCCTATGTATTACAAAATAAAAATATTATTGACTGATAAGATATTTTGTATAGACATTTAAAAATAAATTTCTCTGTTATGTTAAACATATCTTATCAAAAATAGCAGTATTATTATTCAGTTACAATGTATATATGAGCCGCGTCATGACAAAACCAACATAATGGGTTTGCGACCAGCATGGATCCAGACCAGCCTGCGCATCCGCGCAGTCTGATCAGGATCCATGCTGTTCGCTATCAGTTTCTCCACTTGTAATAGGGTTGGTAAGCGAACAGCATGGATCCTGATCAGACTGCGCGGATGCGCAGGCTGGTCTGGATCCATGCTGGTCGCAAACCCATTTTGTTGGTTTTGTCATGACACGGCTCATATATTCCTAATGTCTTGATGACTTCATATGAAAAGATATGAAATTTTTCACCAAAAGTTTTAATCATTTCACAAGAAACCATCTATGTAATAATGAGTCCCTTATATGAAAAAAAAAAACTGAACATTTCAGATAGGTGAATGTAAGAGCAAAGGATCACAAGTAGCTGTTTTATAGCAAGCGTCTAACTAACTTAAGCTTTGACCTATTTTTAAAAGGTGCCCATAGTGTGAAGTAGATGCAACATTTGAATAAGTGGTTAAATAAAGAAGACAGTTTATGTGAAATAGTCAGAAATTTTCAAATCTTGACCATCTTACTGGAAGAAAAAGTAGAGCAAAGATTAAATACAAATGCAAGTTATGTTGCAGGATTAAAACAATGTTTACTGCATTTTAAACTTAATACATAACTATAATCTTCAATTATAATAAACTAGAACTGCCACTATCATGGCGTGAATACCCCCGCATACCACTTTGTCAGAATCAACAGTGGCCATTTAAAGCTCAAGGACAACCTCCCTGCCAAATCTGAGGTTACTAAGCCGTTATGTATTCTACATGCTTCAAATGTGAAAATGTCAAAAAAAACAATACACTGCAGACAGGCATTCTTAAGCAATTGAGGGGAAAAGCTTTTTTTTGTCAAGGTCCCTGTGACCTTGACCTTTGACCCAGTGACCTCAAAATCAATAGGGGTCACCTTATGATCATTATCAACATCCATGCCAAATACGAAGACTGTGGGTCAAAGGAATCTCAAGTTAATGGGTGGACATACTTTTATAGTCAAGGCCCCTGTGACCTTGACCACTGACCCAGTGACCTAAAAATCAATAGGGGTCACCTATTAATCATGACTAACCTCCATGCCAAATATGAAGACTGTGGGTCAAAGGAATCTTAAGTTAATGGACAGACAAACTTTTTGAAGTCAAAGTCCCTGTGACTTTGACCTTTGATCCTTTGACCTCAAAATCAAAAGGGGTCATCTACTAATCATGACTTACCTCTATGCCAAATATGAAGACTGTGGGTCAAAGGAATCTTAAGTTATTGGGCAGACAAGCTTTTTGAAGTCAAGGTCCCTGTGACCTTGACCTTTGACCCAGTGAACTCAAAATCAATAGGGGTCATCTACTAATCATGACTAACCTCCATGCCAAATATGAAGACTGAAGGTCAAAGGAATCTTAAGTTATTGGGCGGACAAGCTTTTTGAAGTCAAGGTCCCTGTGACCTTGACCTTTGACCTGGTGACCTCAAAATCAATAGGGGTCATCTTCTAATCATGACTAACCTCCATGCCGAATATGAAGACTGTGGGTCAAAGGAATCTTAAGTTATTGGGCAGACAAGAAAAAACAAACGGACGGCCGGACAGCCGGACGGACAAGCTGATTCCAGTATACCCCCCTTACAACTTTGTTGTGCGGGGGTATAAAAAAATGTCCTATAAACATGGTCAAATTTGTAAATAAATACCCATATTCCCCTGTGACAAATACCCTATTTTCATGAGGAAAATATAAACCCCTATTCCCCTGTGGTAAATATATACCCCATTCCCCTGTGGTAAAAATATACCCCATTCCACTTGTGGTTAATATATACCCCTTTTCCCCTGTGGTAAATGTATACCACATCTCCCTGTGGTAAATATATACACCATTCCCTGTGGTAAATATATACCCCATTCCCCTGTGGTAAATGTATACCCCCATTCCCTGTGGTAAAAATATACCCCCATTCCTCTGCGGTAAATATATACCCCCATTCCTCTGTGATAAATACATTTCCCCTTCCTCTGTGGTAAATATATACCCCATTCTGCTGTACTAAATATACTCTCAGTTCCCCTTTGGTAAATATATACCCCTATTCCTCTGTGGTAAATATATACCACCATTACCCTATGCTAAATATATACCCCATTTCCCCTTTGGCAAATATTTACCCCATTACCCATTGGTAAATATATATGCCCATTCCTTTGTGGTAAATATATAGCCCATACCCCTGTGGTAAATATATACCCCATTATCCTATGGTAAATAGATACCCCTATTCTCCTCTGGTAAATATATACCCCATTCCCCTGTAGTAAGAACCCCATTCCTCTGTGGTAAATAGATACCCATTCCCCTGTGGTAAATATATACCCCATTACCCTCATAGACATACAAAACATTACTGTTTTGGAACACATCATGGATTTAAAATACAGGTTGGGAGAAATGTAATAAGGCCATTCAATATTCCCCCAAAATTAACCAACTTCTAAAATATCAATAAATCAAACACAGCTTTTAATCTCATCCTCTACACGTTTTAATCAAGTTACCCTTTAACTAATTAAATGGACTGACATTTTAACATTTAGAAATTCTCCAAGAAAAAATGCTGGTAATAGCAGAGTCTGACACCCTGACAATTTTGTTAAGATCTGCAGAGTTATTTCAAAGAACTGTTTACTGTTGGTTTAAATTACACTGAACTGTGTGCCAATCTTTATTGTCCATCTCAGATAAACTGATCATTTATTTGCCTAAGATCTCACAAAAACTAGCCTAATCAATTTAATTAAAATGTTGTCAATCATCCGAGCAAAATAAATTCAAACTGAATCTTTATGCCAAGAAGTGAACAAAGTTATTATCCCAAGTAACTGTGGTCTACGTAGGAAGTTTTACATTTTTACTTTTAATAACATAATAAATTGAATGCAATCTTATCAATTTAAAAATTACAAATGGCTGCTATGTCTGGATATGTTATATTGGATCAACTTTAAACATTACATGTACAGTCTATTCATTCATAGATTGTTAGTGAGTTTTTTTCTGCACACAAGGAAATCCTTTTATTAGGTTTTAACACTAGGATATATCTCATATAGAAACATTTATCTGAAAAATAAACACTTAAATGATTTTTAAATTTTAAATTTTTCTTTAGATAACCAGGTATGTGAAAAAGATTCCAGCAAAAGTTTGAGAAAATTGATAAAGACAATATCATTGTGTAATTGTGCAAAATAATCAGATAAACATTGACATAAAGGTGGTGGCCTAGTGGTTAGGGTGTCTGCCACTTAACCCAGAAATTAAAAGTTTAAGCTACACTTGAGCAATGTTTCCTCATAATGTTAGTTCCAGCAACACATCTCTTATATAGTCAACCCTTCCCACACTTAATATATTACATGGACTTGTCCATCTTTCAATCTGGACAATACCATTCATCATTTTTAGGGAAGATTTCAAAATACACACTAAATGAACAGCAAACAGTGTAGACAATGCTCAGATGGAATGGTGGCATGTATATATTCAGTTGCCACCATCTGGCTGAATGTTAAATATCAGTCAGAAAACAAAAATTGGTCTATGGGTCATTAGAAAATGTAGTAATCTATCATTAGCCCACCAATTACAATATTATTATATTTACTAATATACAACTGAATTACAAACCAGCTTTTAACTGTGCAGCAAATTCCACCATTTTGGGATATTTTGGCTGTAGTTGATCATCTAGTTTAAACAACACTAACAATTGAGGCCTGAAGAGGAATAGGGTTAATAAAAGACACACTGTGTTACTATAGTGTATGATATGTTAGACAAACACTTCTATAAAATATGTTAAATTTGTGATATATTGAGATGACTTGACAGAGGATGACTTAATGTATGATTTTTGCTAATATCAAGGTATAGTTAACTCTAAGATTAGTCTTAGTAATTGCAAGATATACCATTTGAAAAAGACATAGCTATTATTAAGGTGTTATTTTCACCATTTATCTTAATACTACAACATTTTGATAGTTAAAATGATCACTTAATTACAAAGTCACTATTTACCATATATATACATTTCTTTACATACCATTTCATAAAGCACATGAAATATGGAGCTCTACTATATATGAGCCGCTTCACGACAAAACCAACATAATGGGTTTGCGACCAGCATTGATCCAGATCAGCCTGCGCATCCGCGCAGTCTGATCAGGATCCATGCTGTTCGCTTACCAACCCTATTACAAGTCGAGAAACTGATAGCAAACAGCATGGATCCTGATCAGACTGCGCGGATGCGCAGGCTGGTCTGGATCCATGCTGGTCGCAAACGCACTATGTTGGTTTTGTCATGACGCGGCTCATATATTAACACAATCATAAGACCAGGGCAAGGTGTGTACAAAAACCTCTATCAAATCATTAAATCCATTAATAATGTCAAATACTATCACAATCAAAACGTGTATAAAAGCTTCACTCAATAACTACCACCTTAATATTACAGTCAAACCTGTATTTATGACCACTTCAAAGTTAAGACAAAAATTTATTGGCATCAAAATGTTTCAAGTCTTTTAAGTTTAAGAGTACCTTCAATGATAATCTCTTACTCTCTGATACTTTACTGTTAAAGAATTTTGTGAAGACTCAAATATAATGAAGAACATTTTAGAAGAGACTCTAGCATATAAAATAAACAGTCCAAGTGTGAAAACTAGCACATATAATGAAGAGTCTGTTTGAAAACTTGGATTTAGAAAGAGAATAAAAAGAATGTAGTTTTAATTATCTATCATTTATATACAAATATTTAACAACATTGTAGTAAACACAATTGTTAAATATTGTACAATAACCTGATAAGGAGAACCTTTTTCATTTCTACATTAAAGGTTGTCTTTACAGGTTTACAGGTATGACTGAGTAATGAATGACCCATTACCAGTAGTACAAATTCAAATGTGGTCTTTACAAAATATCATTATCAATAATTAACACTGTTTCTTTAATATTGTATCTCATTTCAGTTGATATGCACAAATAGTATCATACATTTTGAAAATTGAATGTAGATTTTCATTTGTAACTTATTTTAAGATGTCTGAATATTCCATTTATTTTGATAATACATTTGTATCTCTAACATCTATAAAAGACTATTTAATCTGTATATATAGAAGACACTATAGTAAAACATGATAAAACCATCTTGAAAATATTGACACAATCTTTAGAAGTTGTAAGCACTGACACATCAAATTAATATAAATGAGATGAACTAATAGGTAATTTTATCATTACTAACAGCTCTGCATGGAAAATTGAATTCCTTATTACTTTGTGAATTTTCAGACTGTGTATAGTACATTTTAATCATTAGCCACACAAGAGAAACACAATTATAGAAAAGCACCTAAAGTTAGTTAATTAAAATTCATGTTTTAAACCAGTCTAAGAATATATACGATATGAAGTTTAATGAACTTATGGAATTAAAAGTCTTTGGTTGGTCAATAAAGTTAAAAGATTAAATGAGCCGAGCCATGACAAAACCAACATAATGCATTTGCCAACAGCATGGATCCAGACCAACCTGCGCATCCGAGAAACTGGTAGCAAATAGCTGGTCACAAACGCATTATGTTGGTTTTGTCATGGTGCAGCTAAAATATTATTGAAGCATGAAATATTATTGAAGCCAGTTAGAGAGATGTGGTGATATTTTACCTCCAGTTTTTGGTATGTGGCGGCCCCTGTTGTACTCTCAGGAGAGAGTACCTGGCAGCTGACATAGCCAAACCTCGTATACCATCTCCCCATTCCTTCTCAGCACTGAAAACACGTATCATATAAAATTATAATTGAGCTGCATCACAACAAAACCAACATAATGCGTTTGCGAACAGCGTGGATCCAGACCAGCCTGCGCATCCGCGCAGTCTTATCAGGATCCATGCTGTTCGCTTACCAACTCTTTTACAAGTAGAGAAACGCAGCATGGATCCTGATCAGACTGCGCAGGCTGGTCTGGATCCATACTGATCGCATACGCACTATGTTGGTTTTGTCATGACGCGGCTCATATTATCACAGTAAAAAATAATTTTCAATATATACTTAAGAATAATGAATTGGTCCTATTTCAAACCCAGTTGATGGTGATAAAATATTATATTTCAAGCAACTTAATCAATGAACTAAAGAATGTTGTTTTTTTTTAGATTTGTACTTATACAGGATATTGTACCTGTGAGTTAGATCACTATAAAACTATTACATTTAGAAAGGTCAACTGACATGCCATACTAATAAATCAATTACAATTTCATTCAAGTCACTTGGCTAAGATCATTGACAGACAAATCCAAAAATTACTTTCCTTTTTCTAGTATTATTGCAATTAAACATGTATAATACAAAAATGCATTTAAAACTGAAGTTATGGCAAACTTAAATTTCACCTTGTTTTAACATTAAGATAAATTCAACAACTTCTAAGTTGTACTAAATCTATGAAATAATTAAATATGAAAAGCACAAAGTTGATCACACCAGAAAATAAAATCTTGGTTGGTCTTTTATAGTCTACTTACCCTTTATATTCAATGTACTTGTAGACAAATGCTGCTATAGCCATGGCAGTGATAGCATAATACCAGCTGGATATAAACATCAATACCACACATAGTCCTAGACCTACTAATGATAGAGTCCTGAAAATACAAGATCAAACAGTGATATAAATAAGGTCAAGGTCAGTTCAACCTTTCAAAAGGTCTTGTCCAAAATGTTGTTTTATCAAAGTATGAAGATAATCAATTAAATTTTATTAATTACCAACAAGTCAATTAAAGCAAAGATCTGTGAAAATTCAATTATTTAACCTTCAAGGTCAAGGTCATAAAAGAGCCAAGGTCAATTTGAGTTTGATATTCATAAATATGTTATCCTAAAGAATATTCTGTTATAATATGAAGTCAATCCATTTAATAATAACAAAGTTACAGACAGTTTCAGCAAAAAAAAATATGAAAATTTAAATAATTTTACCTTCAAAGTCAAGGTCATTAATGAGTGATGGTCAAGGTCTGTTTGATAACTTAAAGGGCTATCTTGAAAGATTATTATACTTAAGTCTGAAGACAATCCTTTCAAAAAATTACAAAGTTATGCCTCTTTAAATAAAGTCTTTATTATTATTATTATTATTATAGCAAAAAACAAGCAAAACTTCGTTATTTGACCTTGAATGTCAAGGTCATTCATGGATGAAGGTTAAGGTTAGTCTAGTCTACTGAAAGGTCTTGTTCCAAGGGTTATTGTGGATAGTATGAAGACAATACACCAAGAACTTAAAAAGTTATGATCAAGGTATAAGTTTGCGGACGGCAACGGCAACGCCACCATGACTGTTAAAATACCTCTATGTTTTTTTTTAAAAAAGTTGAGCTAATAACTTAAAAAAAAAAGTAAACTCACCAATGGTAGAATTTAAACCTTGGTCTCCAACTAGGAGTCCTCAACAGGGTCTGCAGTGCACATGCCATATTCACAAAACCATAACACATCAGGAAAAACCTGAAAATATCATCAAAATTTTAAATATTTTTTCTTTTGTTGGCTGATTCACAGAAAATATAAAATAAAATTTAAAACAAATATCTATGACTTTACAGTACAATACATAAATGTTCGTCATTAAAGCAAATAATCACAGATATAAGTAGAAATTTAAACTCATCTACAAATAGATACACAGTCTCTAGATAGTCTTTATAAACCCCTTACCAATTAAAATCTTCACCAAAATCTATATTGTCATAAAATCTCGCTGAAATTTCATTATATTTTGTTTACAGACATCAATCTGTCATACATAAAATATTTCAAAGTCTAGAATCTGATTCTTTATCACAAACTGTCACTTTAAATCAAGACTAACTGTCGTCTTCTAACGAAAATAAGTATTTATCATCTAATTTTTGTCAAAGAGAAATTTGTAGATGAAACAAAACAATTGGAGCTAACCAATATAACATGGCATCATTTGAAGCTAATTGTTTTTCTCTCTAAAACATTATTCTTTATAGAAAAGTCAATAATCTACAAATGAATTCTAATGACATTATGATTTAGTTTATATAACATTGTGATATCTGATGTAATAACATGTGATCATTTGATATTCTTGGAAAAACAAGTTTTACCCAAGAAATAATCCTATCACTGTAACAGTATATCTAGATGTGTTCAATCAGTAGAATATAATACACAAGTTATCTCATACATTACTGGCTTCCAAATAATAGCTGATTATATTGGGTATAAACATTTTAAGCAGGTTATACTGTCCTATATATAGAGCGGCTCTGGTTCTATTGCCTATATTTACAGTTTTATAATACTGCACGTTTGTAATGTCGCTTTTCATTGGATAATCGTGACGTTTATATAGTTTTATATGCACAGCTGTTGTCGATTCATGAAGAAATCTTATTTTTTTCTCTAAAAAATGATGTTTGCTGTATTATAAATTCATTATAAAGATTGTTGACAGGTTATATGGCTGTATATAAACGGCTGTTTGCAATATAACCCTCGCCTAGCGGCTCGGGTTATATTTACAAATAGCCGTTTATATAGGGTCATATAACCTGTCAACAATCTTTATAACTAATAATATAACATGTCAGGAATATTCACAATAAACTTTTAATAAAGCAAAACTTCCTTTACAGGAAAAAAAAAGTGAGATTTCTTCATAAATTGACAGCAGCTGTGTATATAAAACTATATATCAAGATTATCCAACGAAAAGTGATGTTACAAACAAGCAGTATTATAATAGTGAATAGTAAGTAACCTTTCATACCCAGGCAGGAAATACAGCAGACATATGCCAGGCTAGCTCGTACTTATGTACACTGTCAGTAACTCAAATCTTGGAATTTTAATAATGAAAACTCTTTTACAATAAACAGTTCCAATGGTTAAAGTGCAAGATGACCATAAGGCAAGTCAGTTGAGTTATTGTTAAAATTGGAGCTATCACATGAAACAACTTACATAGTTATAACAGGTGCGACCACATCTAGATTTGCTATGAGGATCCCTATTTCAGATATAGCCAGTGTTAGTAATAATGCTCTGAAAGGTTCTCCTCGCTTGGTGGTCACAGAGAAAAAGTTGATCACTGGAATTACTCCATCCATAGCAATGGCCTGTAACAACCTTGGTGCTCCTGAAAACAAGAAACAATGTGTTTGGTTAAACATAAATGTCCCCCTGAAAAGCAAATCATTTAGCAAATGTTTCATTAAATGCAGGGGTCATAACTCCTGAAATTGGTTTTTATAAGTGGGCCATTAAACTTACTATACTACATTTTTTTAATGTTCATTTTCAATCTGGACAAAACCAATGATTAGTGATAGGGAAAATTTCATGATATGTATTTATCGATTAGTGAACAGTGATCAGATGACATGAATGAGCTCCCTTGGGTAGAATATGATGCTACCAGCAGATTAAGGGTTAAAATGTCAATGGTCAGTGCTACTTGAAGCAGAAAAATATCAAACTTGATGAATAAAATATAAACCTATACGCTACATTCAGAACAGAGTGAATAGTTTATAACACTAAAATAGCTGAAATTTTTTGTTACTTCACACACTAATAACTAGCAATCAATATCAATTTTTGTCAGTAAATTTATGAACTGCCAGCATTTTGTTGGTGAAAAATACATGTATTCAAACACCAAAACAATTTTTCACTCAAAAAAGTTCTGGAAAAGGAAAATTACAAGAGAAAAATGACACACTTATAAACTTTGACAATGCCATTATCTTATCCTCTTCTTTCATAATTTTGTTGTAATGTGGTGGTATAAATCATTTTGCATTTTAATTTTCATAAATTGTATTTTCCCATTACAAGATACAGGTTCCTTTACAAAAGTGAACTTTTTGCAATTCATAAAAAAATATCCCTTACAATCTCACAGAAATTATGCTATAAAAATCTTCAGCAGCAAATTGTCACTCAAAATTTAACAAGTCTATTATGGACTATAATATTCATGTCTTAAATGCAACATGATAGGTCATCAATCACTCTTTAAAATTTTCCAGACCAATTCTATTTTCTGTCTTCAAAGTGACAACTTGTTATGATATATAGGGAGATACGTTTTTAGGAAAAGACACCGCACCCATATATAGAAATAAACTATCTATGACAATATATTACATTTATTTTCTTGAATGATTGGATTTTAACTTAATGGCTATATTTGTAATATAATTAGAAACAACATATTGCAAGTCATGTCTGAAGATGAATTATATTGTACTTGAAAATATTACTATTTTTTATAATGATTTTTAGAACGTTCTTTGAGTTTAGTGATTTGTATTTTGTGTTGTTGAACCTATCTTTAAAAGAAAATCTTTGAAAACAATCAAAGTAACTCTTGTTCTAGCATTTTAGTAATCATCTAGTTGGGTGTCTCTATAACAACGGCAGCCATCTTTATTAAAAATCGTAAATCAAACCTAAAATTGCCATTAAAAGCCATTTTGCTCTATAACTAACTGTTCAATAAAGAAAATAAAATGGTGGTCTTTAGAGACATTGTTTGTCTGTATTCAGAGATTAAGGGTGGTCTTCAGCACATGTTTAACTGTTTTTTAAATATAAACTGCTCTTTTTTCCTGGAAAATCTTTTAAAACCAGGTAATAATTTTATGGTTATTATCATCAGTAACCTTTTAAACATCAACAATTTTAAAATCAAAATTTTCCAATAAAAATAATTTATAATATCAAAGATTACCTGTAAGTGACTGGAGACCTGCTCCAACAGTTGATAGGAAAGAGCCAATCAGAATCACCCATTTTGTCGGCCAAGCCAGGAACGCTACAACCAAACCTCCATCAATACTCTCACCAAGTCTGCAAATACCAAGTTTAATGTAACAACTTCATTATCTTGCATATCCATGAAACAAAACAAATGATTTCAGAACACTCAAACATAGAAATATTCATCAATTCTGCAAACATGAGAATGATTCAGTGCTTATAACAAGAGCTGTCACAGGAGACAGCGAAGCTCGACTAATAAAATACTGGACACAGTAAGGAGGACAAAACTATGAAAGAAAAATCAATTATGTATAATTATGTATTAAGTTATAGTAAAAAAATAACATTTGTTAACAAAAATTCCAAGATCAAGGGGAATAATTCTAGAAATAGTCATGCTAGAGTTATGGATCTTGCCACACAACATTTGTGTAATGATAAGAAATATATATATTTGAAGTTTGAAGTAGATACCTTAAAAAGTAAAGAAGTTATTATATTTCTTAAAGAAAATCCTAAGTTCAAAGAGAGATAAATCTGTAAATATTGCTTCAAGAGTTATGAACACTGTCACATAAAATGTATTGATGATAAGGAATAAGTATTTGAAGTTTGAGGTAGATACCTTTAAAAGTAAAAAAGTTAAAATAAAAAATAACATTTTTCTAGTAAATAAAATCTAAGTTTATGGGGAGATAATTATTGCAATATTGGTGCTAGAGTTATGAACCTTGTCACATAAGATGTGGATGATGATAACGTAAATATATTTGAAGTATGAAGTTGATCCCTTTAGAAATAAATAAGTTACAGTAAAAAATAATATTTTTTATGGAAAATTCTAAGTTCAAGGGGAGATAAATCTGAAAATATTGGTGCTAGAGTTATGAACCTTGTCACATAAGATGGGGAAGATGATAACGTAAATGTATTTGAAGTATGAGGTTGATCCCTTAGGAAATAAAGAAGAAACAGTAAGAAATATTATTTTTTGAGGAAAATTCTAAGTTCAAGGGGAGATAAATCTGAAAGTATTGGTGCTAGAGTTATGAACCTTGTCACATAAGATGGGGATGATGATAAGGTACATATATTTGAAGTATGAGGTTGATCCCTTAAGAAATAAAGAAGTATCAGTAAAAAATAGTATTTTTTAAGGAAAATTCTAAGTTCAAGGGGAGATAAATCTGAAAATATTGGTGCTAGAGTTATGAACCTTGTCACATAAGATGTGGTTGATGATAAGGAACATATATTTGAAGTTTGAAGTTGATACCTTAAGAAATGACAAAGTTATAGTGAAAAATATTTTACTGCACCAAAACTTTAATCTTAAATCTGGACGCGGACGCGGACGCCGACGCCGGGGCGAGTAGGACAGCTCTCCATATACTTCGTATAGTCGAGCTAAAAATAAGCTTAGAAACCATAATGAAATATGAAGGCATTTTGTCTCTGCTGAAACTTTACAGAAATGCACTTAAGACTTCTTTTGCTTTCACCCCTCTTTGTAAATATTTATATTGCATCACAGAAATATGAAGTTGACTGTAAAAACAGATACAGGATCTCATATTTGTAAGACAATACATAACATGTTCTTTATTTTGATTAAAAGGAAAGATGATTAAGGGAGAACCTGTATTCAAGGGAAATTGATACAAGTAGTTAAATGTTTTTAAAGTATTTGAACAATAGCTATAGGCAAGGTAGCGCACTGGACTATTCTTATTGCTTCATACATTTTGTAGTTATATTATGGAACCTGGATAATATAGAATTTTTTTTAATTCAAAAAGAGCCATAATTCTGTCAAAATCCATGTTAAGAGTTACAAGCCTTGGATAGTTACTTCTTATTGTGCTTTCAATAGCTCTCCCAATTTTCCCTAAAGTCCAGATGAAAATGGTATCAGTACAATCAGCTTTTTTTTGTAGTACAAAAAATAATAAGCTGCCAGCTTATAGTAATAAATATATGCAGCTGTACCAAGGCACTTCCTCAAATCTGAAATAATATCTCGACATGCACCTATGGTCTACCAGTATCTGCTGTGTAAGCCCTGAACCTCTAATAAAACAAGAGCCATGTCAACATGGCCATCCCCCGCCGAATGTGTTTGCTCATTGGAAGAATGTATATGTAGTAGAGCAGAATAATTCCATTTTAAGAGGTCTTTTGGTAATGAAAACTGATGGCTATAGTGATTACAGATTTGAAACCTATGTGAATACTGATGGCTGAAAATAACAAAGGGCAATAACTGAAAAAAAATGCAGGGTAGGTTATCATTCTTGTGTGCTGCATCCCTCCTCAGTAAAATCTATCCACCTATGAAGTTTCAAGTTGATACCTCAAATACTTTTTGAGAAAAAAATTGAATTGAAAAATTAAGTATGAAAAATAACAAAGGGCAATAACTCAAAAATTATAAAAGGTAGAGTTATCATTCTTGTGCACTGCACACCTCCTGAGTGAGATCTATGCACCTAATATCATAAGTTTCATAATGATATCTCAAAGGCCTTTTGAGTTATGCTCTGGACAAAAATTAATTTTGAAAAATAAAAAAGGGCAATAACTAAACAATTATGCAGGGTAGAGTTATTGTTCTTGTGCACAATGAGATTCATCCACCTATGAAGTTTCAAGTTGATACCTCAAATACTTTTTGAGATAAGCTCCGGACAAAATAGTATGAAAAAGATACAAAGGGCAATAACTAAAAAATTGTACAGGGAAGAGTTATCATTCTTGTGCACAGCTTTCCTCCTCAATAAAATCTATCCACCTATGACATTTCATGTTGACATCTCAAACACTTTTGAGTTATGCTCCACTCGGGTGAAAAATTAGGTATGAAAAATAACAAAGGGCAATAACTCAAAAATTATGAAAGGTAGAGTTATCATTCTTGTGCACTGCACACCTCCTGAGTGAGATCTATGCACCTATGAAGTTTCATTTTGATATCTCAAAGGCTTTTTGAGTTATGCTCTGGACAAAAATTAATTTTGAAAAATAACAAAGGGCAATAACTCAAAAATAATGCAGGGTAGAGTTATCATTCTTGTGCAATGCACTCCTCCTCAATGAGATCCATCCACCTATGACGTTTCAAGTTCATACCTCAAATACTTTTTGAGATAAGCTCTGGACAAAATAGCATGAAAAAGAACAAAGGGCATTTCATGTTGATATCTCAAAAACTTTTTGAGTTTTGCTCCACTCAGGTGAAAAATTAAGTATGAAAAATAACAAAGGGCAATAACTCAAAAATTATGACAGGTAGAGTTATCATTCTTGTGCACTGCACACCTCCTGAGTGAGATATATGCACCTATAAAGTTTCATGTTGATATCTCATTGGCTTTTGGAGTTATGCTCTGGACAAAAATCAATTTTGAAAAATAACAAAGGGCAATAACTCAAAAATTATGCAGGGTAGAGTTATCATTCTTGTGCACTGCACTCCTCCTCAATGAGGTCTATCCACCTATGAAGTTTCAAGTTGATAACTCAAATACTTTTAGAGATATGCTGCGGACAAAAACGGAAGGTCGGACGGACGGACGGAGACTATTTCTATATCCCCCGCCGCCTTTTCGGCGGGGGATAACAAGAGCCATGTCAAGATGGCCATCCCCCACCGAATGTGTTTGCTCACTGGAAGAATGTATATGTAGTAGAGCAGATAATTCAATTTTAATATGTCTTTTGGTAATGAAAACTGATGACTGAAGTGATTACAGATTTGAAGCCTATATGAATACTAATGGCTGAAAATAACAAAGGGCAATAACTGAAAAAATAATGCAGGGTAGGTTATCATTCTTGTGTTCTGCACCCCTCCTCAGTAAAATCTATCCACCTATGAAGTTTCAAGTTGATACCTCAAATCCTTTTTGAGATAAGCTCCGGACAAAATAGTATGAAAAAGAACAAAGGGCAATAACTCAAATATTTTATAGGGAAGAGTTATCATTCTTGCGCACAGCATTCCTCCTCAATAAGATCTATCCACCTATGACATTTCATGTTGACATCTCAAACACTTTTTGAGTTATGCTCCACTCAGGTGAAAAATTAAGTATGAAAAATAACAAAGGGCAATAACTAAAAAATTATGAAAGGTAGAGTTATCATTCTTGTGCACTGCACACCTCCTGAGTGAGATCTATGCACCTATGAAGTTTCATGTTGATATCTCAAAAGCTTTTTGAGTTATGCTCTGGACAAAAATTAATTTTGAACAAGAGGGCCATGATGGCACTGAGGTCGCTCACCTGTATATAGGCCCCAGGAGCGGGGCCAGTTTAAACCCCAGGGCTTTTATTTGAACAAACTTGGTAAACATCCATAAGAAGATATTTCATGCTAAACATCTAAGCTCTAGCTCATTGGGTTTTTTAAAAGAAGATTTTTAAGTTTTTACTATACACATATAGTTAAAAACAATGACACCCCTGGGGCGGGGCCAGATTTGACCCCAGGGCTTTTTTTTAAACAAACTTTGTAGACATTTACTAGAAGATGTTTCATGCTTAATATCTAAACTTTAGCTATTTGGGTTTTTTCAAAGAAGATTTTTTAAGTTTTTACGATATGCATATAGGGAAAATCAATGACCCCCCGGGGCGGGGCCAATTTTGACCCCAGGGCTATTATTTGAACAAACTTTGTAGACACTCACTAGAACATGTTTCATGCTTAATATCTAAACTCTAGCTATTTGGGTTTTTTCAAAGAAGTTTATTTAAGTTTTTGCTATACACATCTAAGGAAAATCAATGTCCCCCCGGGCGGGGCCAATTTTGACCCCAGGGATTTTATTTGAACAAACTTGGTAGACACCCATTAGAAGATGTTTCATGCTGAATATCTTAGCTCTAGCTCTTTGAGTTCTTTCAAAGAAGATTTTGTAAGTTTTTACTATATGCATATAGGGAAAATCAATGACCCCCTGGGGGCCAATTTTGACCCCAGGGCTTTTATTTGAACAAATTTGGTACACACTCATTAGAAGATGTTTCATGCTGAATATCTTAGCTCAAGCTCTTTGGGTTCTTTAAAAGAAGAATTTTTAAGTTTTTACTATATGCATATAGGGAAAAGCAATGACCCCCTGGGGCGGGGCCAATTTTGACCCCAGGGATTTTATTTGAACAAACTTGGTACACACTCATTAGAAGATGTTTCATGCTGAATATCTTAGCTCTAGCTCTTTGGGGTTCTTTAAAAGAAGAATTTTTAAGTTTTTACTATATGCATATAGGGAAAATCAATGACCCCCTGGGGCGGGGCCAATTTTGACCCCAGGGATTTTATTTGAACAAACTTGGTACACACTCATTAGAAGATGTTTCATGCTGAATATCTTAGCTCTAGCTCTTTGGGTTCTTTAAAAGAAGAATTTTTATGTTTTTGCTATATGCATATAGGGAAAATCAATGACCCCCTGGGGCGGGGCCAATTTTGACCCCAGGGATTTAATTGAACAAACTTGGTAGACACTCACTAGAAGATGTTTCATGCCAAATATCTAAGCTCTAGCTCATGGGTTTTTTTTAAAAGAAGATATTTAAAGTTTTTTCTTTCGGTTGCCATAGCAACCAGAGTTCTGCATGGAATTAAATTCTTTGAACAATTTTTAAAGGTGACCACCAAAGGAACATTCCTGTGAAGTTTGGATGAAATTGGCTTAGTGGTTTATGAGGAGATGTCATTTAAAGTAAAAGTTTACGGACGGACGGACGCCGGACGGACGCTGGACGAAAAGCGATCACAAAAGCTCACCCTGTCACTTTGTGACAGGTGAGCTAAAAATAACAAAGGGCAATAACTCAAAAATTATGCAGGGTAGAGTTATCATTCTTGTGCACTGCACTCCTCCTCAATGAGGTCTATCCACCTATGAAGTTTCAAGTTGATACCTCAAATACTTTTTGAGATAAGCTCCGGACAAAAATGTTGGATGGAAGGACGGACGGACGGAAGGAGACTATTTCTATATCCCCCGCCACCTTTCGGCGGGGGATAATAAAAGACATGGCAATTAAAAATTTTGCTCAATATTTACACAAGATCAAGATAATCAATATTTCAGGAAAGGATTCACTTACTTGTCCCTCAGTAAATCACCTTCTATTGTTCCAGCAAAGAAGAAAGTACATGTTATGTCTGATAATAAGGTCAAGGTCACTGTGTTACAAACATAAGGTAACGTTATTTTTCATCGGTATCCTGAATTTCTTAATTAGATATCAAGATTTGACATTGTGAAAACTGATGGCAAATTTTCGTATTAAACAAAGTTTCTGTCTTATTTTTGGGTATATCAGACATGAATCTCCTATATGTAGCAACTTTAGACAAATTGACTTTATCAAACAAAATTTATATACTAGTTTTATATCTTTGATTAAAAACATAAAATAATATATATCTTATTTGCCTACACTATGAATGATGCAGACTGTAAATCAATAAAAACATATACCGGTAATCTTTTCTAGAATTATAGACAATATTATATGTATAAGGCTGTAAAAAAGAGTGGGAAAGAGTGATAATTAGATTTTGTTGTGCAAGAAAGGCGATTTACAGATCCTATTCATTATTTATGGAATCAGAATGAATTTAAAATATCTATCATAAACAATGACAACTTATGTGAGCTTCATGGTATGATGGAAAATAAAATAGTTTCACTAGTTTTAGTGGATAGGTAAAATCTGTTTCAATGTAAAAATCAGAAGCTTAAAACCATAACAAAGCAACAAAACCAGAACAATGTTCAACCGTAACCTGTTATAATAACAGATTGTTAAAAGTTATTTGTCGACAAAAGTCATTTTCATTTCAGATGAAGTGGTTATAATAGACAGGTGTGACTGTATTTTTATATAGGTGTGACTGTATTTATACACAAGATAAAGGATACAGACAATACTGGTTGTTGTTATTGCTGACAATGTTCCTATTGGAATAGATTTCTGGGCATCCTCAAGGTCACCTGATCTGTTAGAACCAGCCATTATACCTGTAATATATATCACATTTTATTATATACATGCACTTATAAATGAAATATTGGGAAATATTGATGAAATTAGATGCATATTTTCATTTTCAATATTTTCAATGTAAAAATGTACTTTTCAATGCAGAGAAACATATTGAACAAGGTTACATATAAGGCAAATGTATGGATGGTAAGAAGTGCAAATGAAAATATTTTGTCTTCTAGAAGGAGACAGGTGAATGAATAAATCAATATAACAAATTTACTAAAACTTGGAATAGAATGTAAACACACAAATACATCAGCTTCAAAGACCAAAATTTGATTTTTACAAAATATCACTTTCTTGGCAAACCAGAATGTCTCAAATCAATTAAACTTGGAGGAGCTAGTTACATATTTCTATAAATTATATAATTTTCTTATCTCAGATGCATGTTCTTCAATGTAATCAATTATCACAATCTTCAATATATCTAAAAACAATTTCTCTCTAAAATGGACAAAAAAATCACCATCATATTCATGAGAGGTTTCAAATATTAATAATTGTAAGCTATCTGTTTTATACAGATTCATTTAATTTCTTTTAAATATTTGTCTGTTTTGATACATTATATGTTATTGTCAGGAAGACATTATAAAATATATCTACAGTACAACCTGTGTAGAGAGGCCATTTGTAGAGCAAAAACCTCTTTATAACAACTGTATCATTTCTTTCCAAAGTAAGACTTTACAATAAATTTAACCTCTGAAGAGCAATCATCTCTTTATAACAACTGTATCATTTCTTTCCAAAGTAAGACTTTACAATAAATTTAAGCTCTGAAGAGCAATCATCACTTTATAACAACTGTATCATATCTTTCCAAAGTAAGACTTTACAATAAATTTAAGCTCTGAAGAGCAATTACCTCTTTATAATAACTGTATCATTTCTTTCCAAAGTAAGACTTTACAATAACTTTAACCTCTGCAGAGCAAAAACCTTTTTATAACAACTGTATCATTACTTCCCAAAGTAAGACTTTACAATAAATTTGACCTCTGAAGAGCAATTACCTCTTTATAATAACTGTATCATTACTTCCCAAAGTAAGACTTTACAATAAATTTGACCTCTGAAGAGCGATTACCTCTTTATAACAACTGTATCATTTCTTCCAAAAGTAAGACTTAACAATAAATTTAACCTCTGCAGAGCAATTACCCCAGTATAACAACTGTATCATTTCTTCCCAAAGTAAGACTTTACAATAAATATAACCTCTGAAGAGCAATTACCTCTTTATAACAACTGTATCATTTCTTTCCAAAGTAAGACTTTACAATAAATTTAAGCTCTGAAGAGCAATCATCACTTTATAACAACTGTATCATATCTTTCCAAAGTAAGACTTTACAATAAATTTAAGCTCTGAAGAGCAATTACCTCTTTATAATAACTGTATCATTTCTTTCCAAAGTAAGACTTTACAATAAATTTAACCTCTGAAGAGCAATTACCTCTTTATAATAACTGTATCATTTCTTCCCAAAGTAAGACTTTACAATAAATTTAACCTCTGAAGAGCAATCATCTCTTTATAACAACTGTATCATTTCTTCCCAAAGTAAGACTTTACAATAAATTTAACCTCTGCAGAGCAATCATCACTTTATAACAACTGCATCATTTCTTCCCAAAGTAAGACTTTACAATAAATTTAACTTATGAAGAGCAATCACCTCTTTACAACAACTGTATCATTTCTTTCCAAAGTAAGACTTTACAATAAATTTAACCTCTGCAGAACAATTGCCTCTACGCAAGAACCAGCTTCTTTATCTCCAAAAAGGGCATTGCTCTGCAGAGGTTAAAAAAACACAATGAAAATGTATACACAAATGGTGGCATAATAAGGAGTTTAATTCAATGTTTTCCTTCATAAAAAATCATAAAATGCAGACAGAAAAAACTATCTTGTAAAATATTCCAATACTAAGACAACTGTTCCAACTCTAAGACAACAATATAAAGATAATTGTATTCCTTTTCTGGCATGCCTATCTTTTATAGAAAATTCAAGAAAATGTAACAATTATTTGATAACATCAATTCAATTATATAAAAGTAAATGTGTATACATAATGTAAATTTGCTGCACTTTTTTTTTAAATTTAACCATTTATTCATGAAATGTCAGTACCTCAATCAAGCTAATTGAACATCAAAGTTTTGTTTAATTGAAAATGGCATCAACAACAATCAGTAGCTTTGGTTGTTGTTATATACTAAAAGATACTGTAATATAACTTGCTGTTAAAGCAATGGCACTGGTCAATGGTGTCTATATATCATATTCAGATATATTTCTAAGCAAGTCTTATTCCATCTTTAATATCTTTACCACAAAATAATATTATTAGCTTGTTTTCTTATTGTATATTTCTGCCAACTTTATAAATTCTTTATTTTGCAGTTGTTTTAGGGAAGGAAATATAAAATGATTCACACCAGTGGCAATGAATTATCTTTTGATATTTTTATATATCTATCCCTAAAGATTGTGTTAGCACTTCCACAGAGTTGTTTGTAGAAATCTCAGACTTATCAATCATATAATATTGTAAATAATAACGAAAATTCATAAAGTAAGAAAGCCGGAAAAGATTTATGAATTCATTCATTTTAATTCCAAACTAAGTTTCATTTTGTCTGTCCATGCCGACAGCGTGACCGAATGTAATTTCTACACACAAATGATTTATCACATAGCAACATCTCAAATTTTCAGAAAGCCGTCAATTTATTCTGTTATTCCTCTCTTTCAATTAAGTACAAGAAGGTACAATCACATGTTAACATTAGACCATAAATAACTTCACACAGGGTGTATTAATAATGTATTTTGTTGCAACCTTCATGTCACAATGAATTCTGTCAGAAAATGCAAAATACTCATCCATTAATAACAGAATGTGTTTTCTTAATTTGGTCCTCGATTTTTTGTCTGCTGACTTTCTAAACATTAACTGGTTCAACAATTTTGTCAGTGAAAGAAAATTTTCTAGGAAATGTAAAAAAATAACATGACTGAAAAAAAAACAACAATCATGAAACAAGGGTGTATATAGACCTGGCCCTAATAGTAAAATAATAATTATGAAATAATAAAAATGATAATAAAATAATAAAAATGATAATAAAATTATAATAAGAATAAAGAATAAAAATAAACATTTTTTACATAGGCAACACAGTTAAGCATGCTAAGTCTTCCATCCATACATTTGCTGTTGCTCTTCAAATTTTGTATTTTGATACTGAAATCCTTAAAACTTTGAATGAAATGTTACAAAAGTCAATGCAAGGCAAATTTATTACACATTTTCAGAAGGTTAAGAAACTGTTAACACACATGCTGAGATAATCTGCAGAACAATTTTCCAGGAAGTCACTGACGGTCAGCTATCATTTTATGTAGGACTGCATGTGTGAATTTAGCACTCCCAAACCTGACTATATATTTACTTAATAGTTAAAGCCCAATAAATTATGCACTTTAGTTAAATACAAGTTACATTATCTGAACGACTATAAAATAGATAGTTTCGAGAGCTAGAGATTGTGCCAATAAACTTGAAAAAACTGTTTACTGAATAATTTAAACCTTATAAAACATGCGCTATTTTAAGCTCCCATGATACCAGAATGCTAGTTAAAATCCTAAATGTATAGGATTATTGTACAGACTCCAGAAAGCTCTATGATGACTGTTTTAAGCTAAACAAAGTCATTTTCAGGCTGTAAGAATATTGTTAGTCTTTGTTATACAAATGGGTGACTTAGTAAATGCTTTCTTATCAGCATTAAGACATGACCTTTGCCCATTAAAGCCTTATTTTTTTACACTATATTTGATTCAGTTAATAAATCAGTCATTTCTAAAACTTAATAAACTAGCCTTAAAAACATTAAATAAAGCTTTATTTTTACTATTATTTCAAAGTCATTTTAATTAAAAACTGCTAATTTACAAATTTATATAATGAAACTGTCATGATTTAATTTTGTTACTTGTAAGGCTTTCAAAGGCATTTTTTCTTAAATATTTTTAAGAAGTGAGGGGAAAATGATTCTTAAAAGTCAACAACCTTAGACGCATTTCTAAAACTTAGCATGCAACAGTGTATTGGCTATATGACTGCTTGAACAAGCAGGCCTGCTAGGCTATGTCAAGATGACAAAGGCATAGCATCAAGACAATTTGCCCGCAAATATACCATCCATAAATAGGCTCAATCAAACCAAGCCTGCAGCATTTTCAATTTTGTTGTTCTGGGCGTTCTTTAGGGATTCTTTTTTCTCTAATTATTTTTAACTCTCCAAGACTATAAATTACCTGTGACAGACGGGAAGTAGATGGCCAGTAGAACCATGAAAGATGACGTGATATCTGCAATAATTTCACCACGATCACGGTCTCCTGCAATCTTCTGTCCTATTATGTTACCAGAATACGTGTACTTGTTGTGTAAATTATCTGGAAAGTCAATTAATATTTTGTACAGTGAGAAATGAAGCACATAAAGTTTTGTTAAACAGTATATCGTTTGAGTTTGAGGAGGTACTGTAAAATCATTATTATTCGTGGGGCATTAATTTTCGTGGTTTTCTAGGGTAGTTCAATCCACGAATTTAAGATCTGACGAAATTTTTATCTGAACAAGTACTTCTTGGCATGTCTCTATTCTACATATTACAAACATGCATCAGCGCTTTTCCGCCGATTTTTGTGTAATGAATGCCCAGAGGCAAGGATTAAATTTATTGACAAGCGCTGTGTGCTACGTAAAGATATGTACATGCGGTAAGTAAAATGCATGGCGATTAAGTGTAAGATTACTTTGTATTAGGTTATTTATTTTATTTTTTTTCACAAGAAATTGAAAATCACGAATTTAAGAATCCACGAAAATGCCCATTTTGATAAAACCACCAAATTTCATGCCCATGAATATAAGTGAATTCGTAGTATACCATAAAAGGATTATTAGAAGAGTACCTCCAACCTATTACATGTATTTGTTTTTGGCTCTTAAAGAGTTTACTAGAATGGATCACACCTGACTTAACGATGCCTCGTGAGGTTCCAATATAGTAAAATCCACTCAACTACAAGCTTGTAGTCAAGATATATAAATTAAAGCCCTTTTATATCAATCAATAAAGTTCCCTACACCTTACTAAAGCCACTCTTTGATAAAAAACTTTAAGCCTCTAGATTTCTATAAAAACAAGAGCTGTCAGTAGGACAGCAACACTCGACTATTCTTAGTGCTTGATAGTAAAAAAGGCCTTGATTAAAAGGTAAAATTTTCTCAGAAAAGAAAAAGGCAAAATTTTTCTTTAAATCCATATTACAGTTATAGGCCTTGGAGAGAGTCCTATTATGCTCTCAAAGAAGAGTATAAAATTTGAACATGTTTCAAAGCCTTATTACAAAAACTTTAACGTACATTCTAAGTCGAAAAAGGGGCATAATTCTGTCAAAATGCTTGATAGAGTTACCTCCTCCTGTTTACAGGTTGGGGTCATGATGGTCAACAAGTACATGCAAAGTTTTAAGGCCATATGTCAATGGACTATGAAAATATTTGAGGTATTACAAAAGCTTTAAAATAAATTCTAAGTCGAAAAAGGGGCATAATTCTGTCAAAATGCTTGATACAGTTACCTCCTCCTGTCTACAGGTTGGGGTCATGATGGTGAACAAGTGTGCATAGTTTCAAAGCCATATGTCAATGGACTTTGAAAATATTTGAGGTATTACAAAAACTTTAAAATAAGTGGTTACACCGACGCAGACGCCGACGCTCGGGTGACTACAATAGCTCTACTTATTCTTATCGAATAGTCAAGCTAAAAATCACAGAAATTTGAAAGAGACAACTTTTGAACAAAAAAAAGAACTTTCCATAATGCTTAGGATAACTACTGATTTTTGTTGTTATGTTATATTATTGATCCCAACAGACTGACAATACTATGAAAATATTGTGATAATTTCTAGCTTAAATAATAAGACCCGAGATGATAATTCATGCATTATTTCAAGCATATAGGAAGAACCATTGACATTTCTCAATGTAGCTGGATAATTTCCTCATATATTATTAACAATTTGGCATCCAATGTGGGAAACAAACCTAAAGAAATAGACTGTGAACTATTTAATGTCAGCTGTTTGAACAGCTGAGGTACCAACAGAACCAGTAACTTTTACCCTGCAGGTGACAACTTCAAACCATGCAATCTGAAGACAGACTTTGGTCAGACAGCACATCCGTGTCATCTGGCTATCTGATCATGTTCTGCACTATGCCTTATCTTCCAGTGCTTTTTTAAAAATTTTCCCTTCAAATTTTCAATAGTTTTCTCCAGATTAAAAGATGGACAGGTCCATTTACAGACATGGTAATAAGAGTAATAAGGCTTAAAACTATTCATATAAATCTTAATAAAGACAGGGTACAGCTTACCTTGAAAGACATTGCTGGCAAGTCCTGGAATACCAGGTTTAGTGTAGGCCACATTTTCTTTAAAGAATTGGTCACATGTTGTCTCATTTCCGTCTAGATGGCAAAATTTCTTATATATCGGCCCTGTCGAGTTCTTTATACACATCATCACACCATCCACTGTCACAGAATCTGACGTTAGCAACCTGTCTCCCAGGTAACAAATCCTGTAATAATAATTAATATTCATTGCATATCATTTGAGCCGTGTCATGACAAAACCAACATAATGGGTTTGCAACCAGCATGGATCCAGACCAGCCTGCGCATCCGCGCAGTCTGATCAGGATCCATGCTGTTCACTTACCAACCCTATTCCATGTAGAGAATCTGATAGCGAACAGCATGGATCCTGAACAGACTGCGCGGATGCTCATTTCTTTTTTTTTTAAAAACATGTTGACAGTTTTATGAATAACATCTGTAAGTCTGTAATGATTGTGGTGATATTACTATTTTCCATACAGATTTATCAGAATTGAAGAAGACCAGAACTGAAAGCTTAACTAATCAAGAAACAAAAACTCCTCTTCAAGACTGCTATGAAACAATTACGAATGGAAAGCACTCAATTTCATAAAATTTCTGAGACTTAGCAATTGTCATTTAATCTTGTATTTTATGATTGAGAAATGCAAAGTCAAGAGCTATTGTTTCAATATTTTAGAGAATTGACTTCCAGGAATCTTTTGAGTATTTTTTACACACATTTAAAATTGTGAACACACAAATTATCCAAATTCAAAAATCAGTACATGTAATAAGAACTGTTTAAATATCATGTACATTCTAAAGTAAAACAATAATAAATAAAAGTCTTGTATAATTAAATGGATAGTTCATTTAAATACAAGTTTGCATAAAATTGTACTGTGAACTATTGAAACAATATAAAATACAGTGGAACTTCGAGAACTCAAATCGTCATCTGATTGTGCAAAAGTCCATGTATATGAAGAGCATGTACATATAAGTCACAAACAAATCAGACAGTTAAAATGCTGTCATTTATCAAGAATATCATATCACAAATAATTTTGAGGTTTTCGTAGATTTGTTCATCTAAAATAGAAAACAATCTTTGCAAGGTAAGTGTTTGATAATTCTGGAGAATTTCAGGTCCTGTAGTGATACCGTAGTGATACAGCAGTCAAAATATGCAGACAATTTTTATGGTGTAATTATTATAAGATATTAGCTAATATACAGACTTAATAACCATACCCCATGTGAGCTGTTCATATCAACCCCTCACCTTCTATACAGCTGCTAGAAGATTAACTATTACTATTTCAATTAAACTTTGTACAGACAGTAAACCTGTCTCAGCAGGTAAACCACTGGTATAAACTACCGGTATATCATAAATTACTTAACATGGTCTGCTTTTTTGTTTGTTTTGACAATCTTATATTAGAAATGAGTCTGTGTTCATGTATATACATGTACGATTATTGATACTAGTATAAGGTCAAACCGGTACTGTGGAAGTTTCACATTAGAGATTTGTACTTTCAGTGCCTAAAAGTGTGGATGGACCCTCATTAAGCCTAGAATATACACACACACAAGTTTCACCAATATTAAGCTTTATTATGCCATACAAGTCAAGTAAAAAACCATTTACAACAACAATTGTTGTAATATCTTTTTACTGGAAGTCCATAATATACATAGCAGTCTTTCTTTTGTTTAACTGCACAATTTTAGATCTGATCTGCATTAGTGTATTTGAATAGAAATTCAGGCTCCTAACTTCAACTGCCTTTTAAATTCTACAATAACGAGATCCCATGACAGCAATAAAAACAAAGACCAACAGTGACATTTACAGACCTGGCTTGATTTAGACAGTTTACAAAGAAACAATGGCTTAAAAATAATCTCTTAGCTTTCACTAACATTTGCTAAAGGGTTTTCAATTCCAAGAATTTAATGAGTAAGAAACCTGTCAGACTAGAAAATACTGCAAAATTTCTGAAAATAAATGAAGAGACTTTTATATGGCGATGTGTCTTTATATTGTTTTGTGATTTTCACAGTGAAATGACTTTATTAGGTGATGTGACTTTATATGGTAATGTTACTTTATATGGTAACATGACTTCTTTTATCTGATGTTGTTGTTGTTGCTTTGGGTTATACGTCACATCGACACAGTATAGGTCATATGGCAACATTCCAGCTTTACTGGTGGAGGAAGACCTCAGGTGCCCTTCCGTGCATTATTTCAGGCATGTGATGTGACTTCATTGGTGATGTGACTTTATATGGTGATGTGACTTTATTTGGTGATGTGACTTTATATGGTGATGTGACTTTATATGGTGATGTGACTTTTTATGGTGATGTGACTTTATATGGTGATGTGGCTTTATATGGTGATGTGGCTTTATATGGTGATGTGACTTTATATGGTGATGTGACTTTTTATGGTGATGTGACTTTATATGGTGATGTGACTTTTTATGGTGATGTGACTTCATATGGTGATGTGACTTTATATGGTGATGTGACTTCATATGGTGATGTTTGTATGAAGACGTGACTTCATATGGTGATGTTACTTTATATGGTGATGTGACTTTTGATGGTAACATGACTTCTTTTATATGATGATCTAACTTCATATGGTAATGTTTATATTGTGAAGTGACTTGGTGATGTGACTTAATATGGTAATGTTACTTTATATGGTAACAAGACTTCTTTTATATGGTGATGTGACTTTTATAAAGTGGTGTGACTTGATATGGTGATGTGACTTTATATGGTGATGTGTCTTTGTTAGGTGACTACATGGTGATGTGGCTTTATATGGTGACATGACTTTATATCATATGGTGATGTGTATTTATATGGTGATGTGACTTTATTTAGTGATATGTCTTTATTTGGTGACTTTACATGGTGATGTGGCTTTATATGGTGACATGACTTTATATCATATGGTGATGTGTATTTATATGGTGACGTGACTTTATTTAGTGGTATGTCTTTATTTGGTGACTTTACATGGTGATGTGGCTTTATATGGTGACATGACTTTATATCATATGGTGACGTGTATTTATATTGGTGATGTGACTTTATTTAGTGGCATGTCTTTATTTGGTGACTTTACATGGTGATGTGGCTTTATATGGTGACATGACTTTATATCATATGGTGATGTGACTTTATTTAGGTGGTATGTCTTTATTTGGTGACTTTACATGGTGATGTGGCTTTCTTTGGTGACATGACTTTATATCATATGGTGATGTGGCTTTATGGTGATTCCGCTTTTTGTTGTACATTGTATTTGACTTTATGTAATTTAACATGTAGACAATAGGCAATTTAAGTGTTCTTAATTAATCTAGAAATTGAAAAAATCATAAAAATAATTCCTTTTCTATTAATTCAGACTGATCATTCACTTTTTATATCACTTAAATACAACTGTTTTGTTATAATGTTCTAGAAATGTCTAGACAAGTTGCAAAACCTCACCCAGAGGCAGATTGTGCAGTCAACATTTAAAAACCTCTTTGGTCTATTTTTTGGTTTGTCTGGTCATACACAATTTACTTCATGTCTAACTCGGCAGACTAGCCATTAGGAAAGAGCTTGTCTGTGGCTTTGATTTTTTTGTTATGCTTCTATGAGAATATAACAGTACATTCATACAATACTGACAAAATGTCCCTTCACATCCTTTTTTATTTTTATTTTGAAACCTTAACATAAAATGTAAAATCTAAAGCTACTGATTTGTGCAATTTTCCATAATTAAATTTTCTAAAACTGTCTAATCAAAAAGTATTAAACACATACTGAAGGTGAATGTCTGGCTTTGCAGGAAAACTGAGAATAAGGTATCATCTATAATGATCTATAGATATAGTGAGGGCATGGAGCAAAACGGTTGTAACTTCTTCATTATGTCATAGGAGTTACTACTGTTTCTAATCATGCACTCAATATATTAAAGCAGCATGCCTCCAAATTTGTGCTAATTTTCATGAAAATTTTAAGTGTATTTTTAAAAAGTGAAATATTGTGAAGTGTACAAAGAAAATTATTTACACATTGCAAGCAGCATTATGCAACCCATAAAAATCACCAAAATAGCAAAAATAGCCCTTACTGCATTAGTAACGAAGTAGAAATATGGTGATCAATACTTCAAAATCAGTCCTTAATCCAACATAATAATTTTATTATGTAAATTGTAACTTGAATCTTAAATCTTTTTACTTTTCTTAAAATCATATTACATTTTTCTCAAGTTTAAATTATCCTGAAATATTTTGGCACATCTGGAGGCATTCAGCTTTAACCGTCAACATACTTACTGCATGCTACGATCAGGACTGGCGGCAAATATTCCGATGTATATACACAGTATAGACAAGATGACACACGCCAGAGATAATGTCGCAAACTTGCTCACAAACGCCACACCAATGAACACTATGATACCAAGTAGTAAAAGAACGGCCGTACCGTACACACGGTAATTGTTCAACGCATTACTCTGTACTGATACATCCCCAAACAGTGAAATCTCCTGTGCCATGTATGTCTGAAATGAAAAAAATGTCCAAGTTTTTTATAAAGGTATTTAAAGCGTCCATCATAGGTAAAACATGCAAATAGTTTCATTTATTTATTTTTTGGTTATGACAAATGATGACTTTCCAGTTTTACTGGTGGAAGAAACTTTGTGCTCTTTTGTAGTATAAAATGGATAGACTTAAAACGCTTAATGTTTTGCTGACTTCAACCCTAAATTATTTAAGCACGTACATCTAATATTAATCTTAAAATAAAAAATCCCACATAAAATTTTTACACTTAAGAATTTCAATTAGGAAAATAACATGACTGTTTAACAAAAATTCAATGATTTTTATGACAGTATGATATAGTTTTAACTCTAATGTAATTAATGTATGTATGAAAAAATATAATATGTAATTCTTCTCCAAATTTAAGAGGGAAAAGTATGCAAAAACACCAAATTTAAGTGGGAAAAGCCCTATCTCTAGTGTGCCGAAAAAAAAGAATTCTTGTAATTTCTGTATGAAAATATGCTGGAAATAGCTTTGTTCAATCACTTAATTATATTTAGGTAATATGTAAGACAAGCTGAGTAAAGATTGACGGCTGTCTGATTAAACACGAGGCTGTACAAAATAAAGATTTATGTTTACGTGTCCTCCTTATATTGATGTAAGTTCTCAATTGTCTGGCCAACATAAACCAACATAATGAAATAAACTATGACAATATGGCTGTTAGTGATCATATTAATACTATATAATGCTTTAAAGAACAATTTCGAAATAAGAGGAAAATGGAAAAGTACAACATGTCAACATCAGAGCTGGTTTAGGTTACCAGTATTTATTTTCTAATGGTTTCAATTCTATTTTAGCTTCATCTGAAAAAAGAACAATTATTAATAAGTTCTTTTGATTCTTTTCCTCTTTTTCATGATTAAAAATGTTTTATTGTATGTATTTTAGCTATTTCAACCAACCAATCAATCAATCAATCAAGTACCAACCAACCACCAATCAATCAATCAATCAAAACAAACATTCTGGAAGTAATAGGTTTAGAAATGACGCTATGTGTCCGATAAATATAAAACATGTAATGCGTCTTGGTAAAATCAGACAGCTAAGTTTTAATTTCCTCTTTTACTTAAAACTATGTAATCTTCCAGCATTTGTATTCCCTTAAATTGAACATCCACTCCAAGAGAAGTAAAAGCTTTCCATTCCCCCGTGGGAAAACTATTGTCTCATAGAATTATTCAATAGTTCTTTTTTGTGCTTTATGTACTCATTACCACAGGAAATTTGTTTTTATTCATTACCAGCAAGGTAACAATGATGATTACTAAAATCCAGAATAACCCACTTTAACACAGACCTTAAAATGTGTAAATTATATGTCAGGCCCTTGGTTCTTTCTGAATTATTTTTGTGAGCATTACTTGGAGCAGTTTTCAGAGATGCCAAAGTTTTATTCTTCTCAAATATTGTTAATGGTAGAAAAGTGTTAATGTTTTGCCCCTGGGAAGAGACTTTGAAGCAAATATAAAGTACCATTATTTTATTCGTTAATAAGAAAATCAGATTTAAAAATTGAACAATGCAAATCTACAAACAAAATGTAACTTAATTCAATGAATGAAAATGTATCGCAAAGCTTTCTTAGTAAGTTTATTGCCACTATGCCTTAGAAACATATCATGTTTTCCTTCTTTATGTTCAAAAAATGGTTTTAAAGCATGTAAGATGCTTCTGATGTGAAGAAAGTAGTGTTGAGTGTGAATTTATTTGACATAAAAGTAGAAAAATGTAAACAAAGTACTATTTTTACTTCAATACTAATGTACTAACTGCCAAAAAGCAGCAGAAGCAAAAGATGGCTCAACTATTTGATCTTTTGAAAACTATAACAGCCTTATTAACAGGACACCAAAAAAACCCCAAAAGAAACAATGCTTTTGAGAAATAAAAACTTAAGTAAATTAAAAACTATATTCTATATTAAAATCTTCAACAGCTGCACAAATTAAGTAACCTCCTTGTTTTATTGATCTGTAAACATTTAATTTTGCAGTAACACATTCCTCATTTAAAACATAACAAATGATATGCCTAATTGGCAAGCCAGTCATTTCTAATGGCAAGCCAGTTATTTCCAATCAATCAACTTAGAGACAGAACTACCAGTATAAACATGTCAAACTAATATTTCATCAAACTAATTTGCAGTAAAACAAAAACAAAATAATTACAAAAGATCTGTTTCCATATCAACATCATGAATTATTTATAGAATTATTTTCTCCCTAATTCCTCACTGGGTGAAATAGAAAGACAATGTCAAGTTATCATGCTTGAAAGCTCATTCTCTCAAGGAAGTTACTGTATTGAAATTTCACAAAAATACAGAAAAAGAACAGAGAAGTGTTTACCATAATTTAAGATAACATTTTGTAATTAAGCCCATGTACATAATAGATTTAACATGTCAGGAATAAATAACTAAATGGTTGTAACCTATTATAATAGTATTGGACATAAGACATTATGAATTATTTCCTTCAAATTTAAAATATAAAACTATGAAAAAAAGTGTCCTTGACTTAAAATCCTTCTAATCAAAACAAAGCATAATTTCACTATACTAAAAGAAAACAAGAAACATGGCAATGCCACGAAACCAGGTTTTCAATTATCACCATTGTAGATAAATATGTTGTAGTTGAAATACAAATACAAGCAACAAACAATGTAACTATGTGCAATGTAAATCATGATTAATGAATTTTCTATTTTTAGTAACTGTAACCTTGACCCTAGGAGGCCAAAAAGCCATCCCAAGTGAAGTCTTCATAAAAACTTGCTTTACAACAAATTTCATAAAAATATCTTATTCCAAACAAGTTATTGGCCGGAAACCTATTTTCTATTTTTAGTAACAGTGACCTGACTGGAAACAGATTTTCTATTTTTAGCAACAATGACCTTGACCTTGACTCTACAGGACCCAAAAGCAGACAGATGAGCTGGCAGGCATGCAACAATCTAGATAGTTTCTGTTTTATAACTAAATAAAAATTGTTGTGATTAATAGGATATATTACACTAATAATTAAATTTTATGGAAAAACAAAGGGCCATAATAAGGTAAAAGGTAAAAACATATCCAATCATAAAACCCTGACAATACACAGCAGGGCACTTGAAGATAAAGCTAATCTGTGAAAATTTGAACAAAATCCTTTGAGAAATGTAGAAGCAGTTGGGCAACAGAAGAAATTGTTCACTATATACTCTATATAAGGGAAAAAAACAAAGGGCCATAATTAGGTCAAAAATTATCCAATCACAAAAACCCAATAATATGCATCAGGGCACTAGATGACAAAGCTTCTGTGAAAGTTTGAACAAAATCCCTTGAGAAATGTAGGAGAAGTTGCGCAGAGAAGAAATTGTTCACTATATATTCTATATAAGGGAAAAAAACAAAGGGCCATAATTATGTCAAATGTTATCCAATCACAAAACCCTGACAATATGCACCAGGGCACTTGATGACAAAGCTTCTGTGAAAGTTTGGTCAAAATCCATTGAGAAATGTAGGAGGAGTTGCGCACAGAATAAATTGTTTACGCCCGCCCGCCTGCCCGCCCGCCGACATACCTCAATCTAATAACCAGATTTTTCCTTCGGAAAACCTGGTTAACAATTATTCAATGTCCCAATTATCCTGACAGTAGAGAAATTTGCCAAAATTTTTTAAATGTTCCCCTTTTGTTATTTTTGAAACAATGTTTTTTAATATAAAAGGAAATAAATATAAAAATTATTTTTGAAATTTTGAAAACAAAACTTTCAGGAAATGCTCAGTTTAAAGACAAAACTTTTAATTACCCCATCTTTTTTAAAGCTTTAAAGAGTATAAAGCTGTATATGATGAAATATTTTATAAAAATTGAAAATAAGTAAAATAAGGTTGTTTTCTTAACCATATGATCTTTTCTTGACAGATTTGTAACATAGAATGTCTATGTAATTTAATGTACATGAATATTGTACAAAAACAAAATAAAATGTTCCAGGACAAAACATTGGACTGCTAAATTTAGTAAGTCTGGAGATTTCAATGAAATATACTGACAAATATTTTTCATTCTAGGCATTTTGTAATAATTCTAATCACAATATAAACAATAATTTTACAATCTACAGATACCAAATATATAGCTGTATACACTTTATCTAAACAGAAACATTCAAACATTATGTCCAAATTCCCATGTTTTTTTATTAAAAAAATTCTGCAATGATTACCATTAAATGTTTGAAGCAATTTTCTGTGACATGTTTTTAGAAGAAGTTTCAATCCAATTAAAATGCTAATTTCAGAAAAGATTTAACAAAACTTGAATGTCAAATTTCTCTAAAAACACACTTTTTCCATTGTTCAATCAAAACTTCTTTCATCAAACTTAATACTGTCAGGAGAATTCTATTCTAAAACAGTTGTCAGCTTGACATATAACTCTCTTTTATCTCTGATATTTTAAATGATAAGAGTCAAATATCATACATGTTGTATCACCCAATATAAGCGGTTTTTTTTCTAGTTTAAGATCAACACTTCTTTGATATATAAATCTACAGAGATCATTTTCTATACAGAAATAAATCTGCTGCCTTCTAAATTGATTTTTGAATAAACTTTCCACATTTTTCACACTCACATGTCAATTCTTTGGGTTTTGAAGTTAAAGAGGTTACAACCCAAATCCTTTAAACCCATAATAATGCACCGATATTAGCAACTCTCCTAAAGTAATTGTTTAACCACAAAAAACAACAAATCAATAATGTGGTAACAAAAAATGATCTCAAAATTGCTGACATTTTTATTTTATAGCTCTTTCACTATTCTCATTTTACACATACACACGCAAGATACAAAAAATTGCCTTCCTCTCCTGCCATCAATAAATAGAGGGCCCATATTTTATAATGGTTTTTTTTTTTTTTTTTTTTAATTTCACATGAGTTTGGTAGAAAATAAGATGGTGATATGTTTTTTTTTTCTGCTGGGAAGAAATTAAAGTACACATTGTATCAACTAGATAGCTTCCTGACATGAAAGAATCCAATAGTCTGTAACAGGATTCAGACCCACAAAAGTGAGGGGCAAGTGGTTGGATGTAAATGACTTTAACCACTTGTCTATGAAGGCCTGCATTGATAATAACAGACAATTATGATCTATTCTACTTCACAAATGTGTACAAACAATTATGAACTATCATAATTGTTTGTACACATTTGTGAAGTAGAATAGAAGAACAGAGATATTTTAATATGAAATGTACAGAGTAATGTTGACTTAAATGTGAAATACAAAATATCATGTTTTCTCAGATTTCAGTTTGTTTAACATTAATTTAACTGTGTTATGAAATGGTTTCTGGTGGTTTTAAATAGAGGGGAAAAAACCCATCAAAACTGTTTTGACTTCGAAAATCAAGTTTGATTGTTTGTTTTTACAGCACACCAACACAGTATAGGTCATGTGGCACCAAAACAGGAAAGATAGTGTTGGCTATTCTTGGGAGTAACAAAGTTCAAAACAACATCAAGGGTCAAATTGGCGTTACCTAATAGAGCTAAGAGATGCATTGACTCCAGTCATTCAAACCCATCTAGTTGTCTCTTACAATCACACAGGGATAAATGGTGGCTGCAATTTTTATGCCTCAACCATTAAAAAGCAACTCCTCAGCAACAAGGGGCGTCAAGTTTTAATATAAATATGAAGTAGAAAGCACTTTGGCAAGAGAAACCTCACGTCAGCATCTTATTTCAGGGAAAAAGTCAAAAATCATGCTTTAGGTATAAAACAACAAATATATTAAGTGTATCAGGCATTATATCTATTTATATTTAAAGCAACATTACGCAAATCTAGAACAACCGTAAAATTATACTTAAATCTACATTATCAATCTAATACTTCTTCATCTTCAAGTCAAAATGCATTATTGTCCCTAATTCTTATTGTATAATATTTATTTATATTTCATTAGCTAATGTAAAGATCTATTAATACAAGATAACACTCCACATTTATTTCTGTTTACATTAGAAATGAATTGTAAATATAGCGTGACCAATACACAGCAAACTCAAATTACGAAATGTTCTTGAAATAATATTAGCACAATTTCTGTCGTACAAAGTCATTTAAAGGAAATCTTCATTTCTTTAAACCACACAAGGAACTAGTCGGCCATTAATCTGACCTGTACGAGATATTTCAGACACATGCAGACATAATAAAACTTTATATAAGGCAACAGGGACATCTCTATCAGTTTCAGAATACTTTCTTTATGCACTAAATTGTCAATTTCAAGTTAATGCATATTGGTCCTAAAACTTCTGGATAATGCCCTGTTTACTACTTAAACATAAACTAGATACAAACACTTTACTTCATCTGGACCTATCTGTAATATATTAAACATAACAGGAAATACTGTCAGGACCTACCTATGATATAATTAAACATTATAGAAAATACTTTGTTTCATTTGGGAAAGGACTAAAATCCCACTTGCTAGTTAGGTCACTTCCTATCTTAACTGGCGGAGGATGAACCTTGGTGCCTATTTGTATTCTGTTAAAGGCTTATGCTGATACCTTAGTAGAATTGCTGTCCTCTAATATTCTAGCTAAATATCTGTAACATGTAAACTAGATGCCCTTGGGCAACATGTTGAGTCCGCGGTCATATCTGACCTTGAGGTATGACCTTGAGCTTTGACCTAGTTCAAATGGTTCTTGTGTGCGACACACCAACTCATTATTGTGAACATTTGTGCGAAGGCATTTGAAATTCTGCCTACTAATGACAGAGTTAGGCCCTGGACAAGCATAATCCGGATGGATAGACAGACGCACATACACCAAACCGCCACTGTGACAACTGAAGCGGGCTCAACAAAAATGATGTTGCTGGTAGTGAAAGACTCATTTTACTGCTATTTCATTAAAAAAGTCAAAAATATTTTAGATTCCTTGAATGTTTTTAAATGTGACACTAAGAGCCATCAGTTGTTTTAAGCATTAATCTATCATGTAAAACTTAAACTGTGAGGTTTTTATTTAAAGCTTACAACAAGCCATAATTCAGTCAAAATCCAGTCAGCCCCACTATTCTTTATTTTTTTTTTTAGGTCAAAAATAAAATCTTGTGATAAAGTTTTAAATACTTAGTAAGCACCAGATTATGAATACAAATATACAGTTAAAACCCACCAACTGGTCTTAACCAAAGTGGTCATAATTGTGGGATAGTCTCATTAATGGATATTGAAATCAAGGCATTATATATGTTACAGCATTTCATTTTGGTCATTTTGCAAGCGTATGTTCAGCCAATTATGTACTATAGCCTTCAATTACTAATATAAGTTTCTACTAAATTTCGGCATGTTTCTCTTTTCAAAATTAAACTGCCTTTGCCCGACTTCCTTAAGAATACCTACCACAAGAATTTCAATGGCTCCTATAATATACATAGAAGATGCCACTGTGGTCCCTAGATAGAACAGTATCCCTACAGCTCCTCCAAACTCGGGTCCAAGGGCTCGAGAGATCATGAAATAGGACCCGCCCGCTGGTACCACACCATTTGTTGCAATGGCACTCATAGATATAGCTGTCAACATTGTCTGAAATATAAATATAGATATTATACAAGATGGGAAGACTTTACAAAACAAGACTTGGGTCATTGCTATATGATACAGTGCTAAATAACTTTTATGTGAAAGACTGGTTCAAATTATGATGTGACAGACTGGTACAAATTATGATTTAGATAATCAATGTGACAGACTGGTACAAATTATGTTTAGTTCAATATCATTGTCAGCCAAATTTGTGGCGTTTTTTTTTTTTCTGAGTGACCTTACGAATATTTATTGTCCCAAATAAATCACTTTTTAATCTGTTCACTCAGTATATACCCTTGAATGGGCATAATGTTACTTGAATGCCAGATGCTGTATAATAGATCCTACAGCATCCCTCTTTCATAACCAATAATATAACTTGAACTTATATAAGCTTGGTTCTCTTGAGCTTAGCTGTTATATTTGATTAAAATATCATCAGGAAATGATAAAAGTAAAGTAAAAAATGGGCACAATTTGCATCAATTTCATTTCAAGTATTTTGATGTGCATTACAACTAATGAGAAATTTAATCACAACTGTATCAAATATTTGATATATATAATAACCAGTCAAATGTGATTGTTTTCAACAAAATGAGCAATTTTGTTGTTTACTTTCATCAAGGGAATCATGAAAATAAATCAATGTTACGTATTCTTGCAATGTATCGATTAATCTATATCAAATGAACACAACTGATATCAAAATATCAACTTAAAGTATGACTGCCTCTCAACATTGGTCCCAGGTTTAAGCCCTATAATATCAGTTGTCAAGGCAATTTTTCTCCATTTTAAATGTGAGAAGTGTTGTGTATAATAAAGAAGCAGCTCCACCTCCTGCTGGTATTTATCACCATTAATTTATTCTATTTTGTTTGTTTATTCTGTTTTAGGGCACAACAACACAGTCTAGGTCATCTTGTCCGAAACAGGAAAAATAATTAAGGCTAACTTGGATGTTACCAACTATAAAGCAACACCTGGGGCCAAAACCACATCACCTGCTAGAGCTACAAGATGCATAGACTCCAGTAATTCCAACCCAATTAGTCACTTCTTATGATCATGCAGGGTTGCAGAATTTCTGATGCCACAATGGAAAATTCATTTTATTTTATTGGGCTTTTAAAGTCACATTGACACTATAATAGTCACATGACACCTTTGAGCTTTACTTGGAGTAAAACATCTCTGACACCCTAATTTTAGTATTATTTCAGGTCAAAAGTGAGGATCTGAGCAGAACCACCAACCTATGGATAAGGTATGTTAAGACTCTGGTAGAATTCCAACATACAATAGTATGTACTTAAATGGGCAAGTGATTTGAAATCAGGGTCCTATATCACTCATCTAGATATACTGGAATTCAAACATTAAAATACTACTTTCTTAGTGCATGACAGTCTCCCTTAACTAGGAAATAAATCTCAGTATTTATGAGGTTGTTTACACAGTGTCAGAAAGTTTGTAGGATCATCTATTTGATCCATGAACATTTATCTGTCAGGACAGACATAAACTGCAGGGAATAAAGTACACTAACAATGTGCCAGATGATTTACAAGTCTTTCACATATAAACCATCTCCAATCATTTTGTCAATATTTGTCTTTCTTTCATCTTTACGTAAGAAACTGGTTTTGGGAATAAAAAATATCAAGATTTCTTAAGCAACTATTGAAGTACTTTAAAATGCAGCTCACTCTGTGAGTTAGAATGCTTGTTTGACAAGTAACGTATCATATGAATTGAATAACTGACAGGCACTCCTGAATGCCCCATATAACAAGTGCTTAAAATTATTCTGATTTATAAATGAACAAGTTTGTATCTGTAATTTCATTTTTTTGTACATAATTAAGTACAAAAAAGTGCAAAGGGAGAAAAGACAATGCTCCTCTAAAATACTCTTTAGTCCAATTTTAGTCATTTAATAAATAAGGGCAAAAGAATTAATTACAACTAGAAATGTATACATAGGTACTTATGCCCTGACCTTATTTCTCCTTTCACAATGGCATATCTACATACTTTGACCTTGACCTATGACCTGTTGAACTCAAAATCAATATGGGTCATCTAATGGCTATATGCAATGCCCCTTTCAACTTTCATAATCTAGACATGGTAAATTCTCAACTTGTAATTGAATAGACAAGGATTTAACAAAGTATCACTGCAACATAAATGAGCCACTTCACAACAAAACCAACATAATGGGTTTGCGACCAGCATGGATCCAGACCAGCCTGCGCATCCGCGCAGTCTGATCAGGATCCATGCTGTTCGCTTACAAACCCTATAACAAGTAGATAAACTGATAGCGAACAGCATGGATCCTGATCAGACTGCACGGATGCGCAGGCTGGTTTTGATCCATGCTGGTCACAAACCCATTATGTTGGTTTTGTTGTGACGTGGCTCATTAATACTTACACAACTACAACAGACTATAACAATAAGAAACCCCTCTATAGCTCCCGCCATACCAACAATCCATGTCATACGGATAAACAACAACACTCCGAAAATATTCTGTATACATGGCAAATATACACCAAGTAATGTTCCTAGTCGAGCCTGAAAATATACAACAACATGGCAAATAAACACCAAGTAATGTTCCTAGTCGAGCCTGAAAATATACAACAACATGGCAAAAATACACCAAGAAATGTTTCCTAGTCGAGTCTGAAAATATACAACAACATGGCAAATAAACACCAAGTAATGTTCCTAGTCGAGCCTGAAAATATACAACAACATGGCAAAATACACCAAGAAATGTTCCTAGTCGAGCCTGAAAATATACAACAACATGGCAAATATACAACAAGTAATGTTCCTAGTCGAGCCTGAAAATATACAACAACATGGCAAATATACTCCAAGTAATGTTCCTAGTTGAGCCTGAAAATTTACAACAACATGGCAAATATACAACAAGTAATGTTCCTAGTCGAGCCTGAAAATATACATCAACATGGCAAAAATACACCAAGAAATGTTCCTAGTTGAGCCTCAAAATATACAACAACATGGCAAATATACAACAAGTAATGTTCCTAGTCGAGCCTGAAAATATACAACAACATGGCAAAAATACACCAAGAAATGTTCCTAGTCGAGCCTGAAAATATACAACAACATGGCAAATAAACACCAAGTAATGTTCCTAGTCGAGCCTGAAAATATACAACAACATGGCAAAAATACACCAAGAAATGTTCCTAGTAGAGCCTGAAAATATACAACAACATGGCAAATAAACACCAAGTAATGTTCCTAGTTGAGCCTGAAAATGTACAACAACATGGCAAAAATACACCAAGAAATGTTCCTAGTCGAGCCTGAAAATATACAACAACATGGCAAATAAACAAGTAATGTTCCTGGTCGAGCCTGAAAATATACAACAACATGGCAAAAATACACCAAGAAATGTTCCTAGTCGAGCCTGAAAATATACAACAACATGGCAAATATACAAAGTAATGTTCCTAGTTGAGTCTGAAAATATACAACAACATGGCAAATATACTCCAAGTAATGTTCCAAGTTGAGTCTGAAAATTGCAACAACATGGCAAATATACTCCAAATAATGTTCCTAGTCGAGCCTGAAAATATACAACAACATGGCAAAAATACACCAAGAAATGTTCCTAGTCGAGCCTGAAAATATACAACAACATGGCAAAAATACACCAAGAAATGTTCCTAGTCAAGCCTGAAAATATACAACAACATGGCAAATATACAACAAGTAATGTTCCTAGTCGAGCCTGAAAATATACAACAACATGGCAAATATACTCCAAGTAATGTTCCTAGTTGAGCCTGAAAATATACAACAACATGGCAAATATACAACAAGTAATGTTCCAAGTTGAGTCTGAAAATTGCAACAACATGGCAAATATACTCCAAATAATGTTCCTAGTCGAGCCTGAAAATATACAACAACATTGCAAATACACACCAAGTAATGTTCCTAATACACAAATAATTAATAACATAAAATAAAAGTGCAGTAAAAATGAGATTAATGAAGATAAAAACTTTTTCCATATACTAGTAAACCATACTTTGGGAAAATGGCAAGTGAATGTAACTGGATGATATCTATGTATAAGAAGTTGAAAATCTACTTATGATTATATGAATTTAGATGGATGCAATCCTTTGACAAAACATGGCAACTGTTTAGCCTTGAGAAAAATTGGTACAATATACATTAAATGGCTCCACGTCTTTAGGCCTATGTAAGAAAGCTGCACTCAGGTTTTATACTGGGAACATGCATATAAACTATTTTCTGAATCCAACTATATTGCAGCTAAATCAACCAATATCCTGTATCTTCTGATGTCAAACAATTCAAAATACATGTAACAAAACTTATTAAGTTGCCAACTTTTTCACTTTCCTTATTTCACTTAAAAATAGTGGTTCAACAAACTTCTATCAAACAATTTCTTGGAATCAGGTCTATGATTCTAAGTAAACAGATGTTAGTACAAAATTTCTTCTGAAAGTATGGTTGAGTTAACAGGACAATCATCAATTATTATCAGACTTAACCTTCGGGTTTCTTTTATTAGAATTAACTTTTATTGTTTTAATGAGGTGTCCGGTGAGTTTATATTGTACTTCAGTATCTTCAGACTGTGATTTGATTCACATTTAGCATACAACCAAGCCGACCTGGCCGGCCAGGACAAATCAGCAGGCTGACAAAGTCAAATATTGCAGGATGGTGAGTGGGTGCTGAAATTTTGCTTTTTGACATTGAAATACCCTTGAATTTATAACAGATGGCTCAACATACAAAACAAAGATACATCATTACAAAAAATTGAGCAGTTAATGGTAAATTTGGAAGAAAACAAAGATCATACATCTTTTCTTGGAGAAAAACACAAAAAGTGTATCTATCTTTATCTTTTGAGTGCAAAAAGAGATAATTAGGTGCATTCCAGTCAGTTTAACAGCAATAAAAAACAGGTGTGATACGTAATAGTATATATATACTGTTCTCATTAATTATGTTTAAATAGGAAACTTCTAACATAGTTACATCATTCTACATTGATGGTTCAAATTTGTTCTTGGATTCTAAAATATATCTCTGAATGGGTGGTAGTTATCAAATAATTTAGTTAAACAATGTGCCTCGTCATAAATATTTATCATCAACACTTCACATTGTTATGCTAACAGATTTTGATACCAAATCTTCAAGCTAGCAGTAAACAACAAGGTCAGCTCAGTGCACCCTAATGATCTGGTAAGTCTAATTTTTAAAATGAACCAGTCATTTGTAACTCTAGCTCCCCCCACCCCTGGGAAACAGCAAGGACTTTGACACCACAAAATTTCTGGTTAAGGAATGTGGTCAGTCAGATATTAAGATGCCTCTGTTAGGCTTCATCTCTACCATCTTTGGTCACCAAAATAAAAACACTACATTCACCCTGCAATGTGAGGACAGAAAGGTGGTAAAAAGTTGGCTCATGTCTCCCAAAGGATGATGTCAGTTTTTACAAACAAGTCTCATATTATGTAATAAACAATAAATTATCAATAAAGGCTGTTACTCTACTTTTCTTGTTTAGCCGAATCTCAACATCCCCTGAGCTTTGATAAAAACCAATTCCCATATTCTTATGTCTTGCCAAGTGTGTGTTTTGATGGAAGTATTGAACTATTTGTTTACAAAAAGTGACTAAATATACATAATATCCGGTACCCTGAGGTTATGCTCTTAATTTTTGGTTAAGCAGCTGATATTAGAGCTATATTTAGACATAATTTTACCAGTCTGACTAATAAAAAGTATAATTGTCTACAGTCTAATTAACTGTTATAAAAAAACTAAAATAATTAAAATTTTGCCACAATACTAGAACATGTTAAACAATTATAATATATACATAAAGCTTAGTTGAAGTCCATTGAAGTGTCTTTGACAATGAGACACTGTTAGCTATATATCATGAATTGGTCATATTAAAGATGTGCTTTTCAAAATGCCTTTCTTAAACAAATCATACAGAAAGGCATTGTATAAGAAATGTACTTCATATACATAACGCAACTCGTCAAGTAAACATATATATATGTAAATGTAATAATGGAATAACATCTCACAGCATGTCCGTTTATAATTGACATGTCTACTATCAGTTACTGTGTCTAGCACACATGAAACCTCCCAGGATATCTTCCTTCATCGATATCAGTAGAAAAGTCAATCACGATATCAGTAGAAAAGTCAATCATGGCTAATTACAACTTGTGTTGACCGAGGCCACACAAACTAAAAGCACAAGCGTCTTTGTATACACAAGTTAATGATACATTGGGACCTAAATAAGGGTATTTCAGAGGAAATTGTTATACTCAATTGGGGACCTAAATGGGACCTAAATAAAGGTATTTCAGAGAAAATTGTTAACTATTTGCATATATTTTGTCTGTTTGTTTCTTTTAAACGTAATTGACAGAAGGTAAAGTGCTAATGGAAATATCTATCCTAAAAGTCCTATTCTTATTTGTCTCTTATAGAAATTTGATGACATCTTAAAAATAAAAATTTGCCCAAAACTTCAAATATTTATAATCTAAATTCCTTCATTGTAATGCAAATAAATTATATGTCTTAAGACTATCATAATTTCCATTAAATCTCTTATGATATACATTCAAGAACTGAAAAAAAGATTTATTTTTTCACTTTTTTAATGTCAGTTTAATTGAAAAATAATGTGTACTTAGATGTTCAGTAATCAAGCCTACAGTCTTTCTGAGGTTGAAACCATACTTCAAATCCAGCCCATGCAATATTTCAGAACAATTCAATAAAAATATAAAAAATAGTCTCAAAGGTTATAGTGAAACATGCAATACTGTAAATATTTTCCTTAGTGTACAAGAAGACAGTAAACAATACAATCTTGCCTTTCTATTAGTTACTAGCACTGCAGCAGTGTTTAAAATATTAATACAAAGCATTTTATCTACAATCAAGCAGACCAATTTTTCCTGTTTGATTTATTGTTTTCCTGATGAGGTAATTTCTTTATCAAATTGCTTACTAACTGCTGGTAAAATAATAGTGTTTTCTTTTTGACGTGGTCTTAAGTTATACACTGTTAAGGCCAAATAGCAAAAAAGGTCAAATGGCAATATTCTGGAGAAGATCCTAGTTGCACCATTGTGCATTGTTACTGGTATAAAATTGCTAACTAACTACTGGTAAAAGTAACAGTTTCTTTATTTGGTTTGGTCTCTTAAGTCGTACACTATTATATTCAAATGGAGACTTCCCAGCTTTACTGACCAATGACCATGTGAGTCAGAACCATAAGGTGTTCAATAGGCTTGAGTGGATAGCTTCATCATATTAAATGATGGTCATAAGGTGTTCAATAGGCTATCAGTGGATAGCTTCAACTTATTAAATGATGACCATAAAGTGTTCAATAGGCTATGAGTGGATAGCTTCAACTTATTAAATGATGGTCATAAGGTGTTCAATAGGCTATGAGTGGATAGTTTCAACTTATTAAATGATGGCCATAAGGTTTTCAATAGGCTATGAGTGGGATAGCTTCATCATATTAAATGATGGTCATAAGGTTATGAGTGGATAGCTTCAACTTATTAAATGATGACCATAAAGTGTTCAATAGGCTATGAGTGGATAGCTTCAACTTATTAAATGATGTCCATAAGGTTTTCAATAGGCTATGAGTAGAAAGCTTAACTTTCCTCAGCAGAATTAGAACCAATAGCAGTAAAGGGCATGAAGTGATCATTCTAAGTCATTAACCTTAAAACCAATTGGCAAAAAAAAAGAAGTTTTACCTTTTTTTAGTGGTGTACAATATTAAATCATTACCACCAGCAATGTTCTATTTATATCACATATTGTGATATACTTGAATCATTAAAATATTTCACAGTCAACAACATCATATTTTCAGAGCATAATGAGCAGCTAAATTATGGACAGGTGTTGAAATAAACCACTGCTATTTTCTGATAATTTCATCAAGATAATTTGTAGCTATTTGAAATTTATTACCTTTGCTTGTGTTTTCTTTCTCTCGCTAGTATTTGGTTCTATTCCTGCATGGTAATTTGCCAGTCGATTCAGGAGAGCCGATATTTTACCCTGGTGATGTATATCATCCTAATGCAACAAAAACAAAACATGTTGTAAAATTCATTTTCTATGAAAATTTATCATATGAAAACTTGATGCTAAAGAACAAAACATTTTGTAAAATTCATTTTCTATGAAAATCTTACAAATAAAAACTTTATACTAAAGATACCTATGTATTTAGTTTTAAATATACAAATCTATATAGATAAGTTGATGTCTTCCTAAAATGTGCTCGGGGAGATATACAGATAACCGTGGCCAAAAGGTTAAGGTGTCTGCCTCTCATTACCCAGGGGATCATGTATTTGAGCCCTTCTGGGTCACAACCATGTTTCCTTATTTCACAGCATGCAGTACTCAGCAGGAAGTTAACTTGACAGTTATTCAAAATCAATTCCAAGCTTATACAAATAATATCAAGCTTAAATAAAAATGTTCTAAATAAATCTGTGGTAGCTAACTAAATCTAGCATCAATACTTTCTAAAGCAGTTCATCGACAGTTGCAGGAACTACAAATTTAACAAGTTTATCCCATGGAATACTAATATATCTAAATGACTAGTACAGAGTCTGACCAGACAATGCCAGTCTTCTGATAAAGAGTTTAGCCATAATCAAAGGAATTACAACAGAAAACTGTAAACTTTGATTATTATCAGCGATTCTTATTATATCTTAACTAATCTATTTCAAAATTACTTTTTTTATTAACTAACATTGTGAAAAACAGTAACATTTAATATTTTTTTCTGTCATTTTCAATTGTTCATGGTAGGAAACAGGAATTGTTCTACCTTGTGTTATATTTTCATCAAACCTTAGTTTGTATATTGACATTAGTAGAACTTTATCTTCAGACTTTATCTTTATTCTTCCCAGGAGGAAAATTTCAACACCTAGGTTGTTTTTAGCTAACATTTATGGATTTACCATTGTTATATACTTTTATAATTCTTAACTATATATTGAATGAACAAGCTCAGATTACTTCTGTAAGTTCTTGCAAAGTAATCTGTTTCAATAAGACATAACACAATCAAAACAGCTACAATAATCATTTCAATTTGATTTGTCCACAGCCTTTATAGATTACCAGCAACAATTAACTCTTGACATTTACCCACAAGATTACCTGAACATCAATGCATTGTTCATTTCTTTCACAACATATTCCACAAATATAAACAACAACAAATGTTTTAACAAACATTTCAATTTTATCATCATGGAAACCGAGTTTTGTAAGTACCACATAACCTTGATATTGACCTTTGCATGTTGCTTAGCATTTGACCTTGACCTTATGAAAGTAGAGTGCTTGACTAATCTCTGTGCTTGACAGTAAGACAAGAGCCTGAATAATGTTGAATATTCTAAGTTCAAAAAGGGCCATAATTCTGTCAAAATCCATGTTAGAGTTTTGAGCCTTGAAAAATGACCTATTTTTATAATGCTCTCAAAAATGTATGTGAAATTTCAACCCCTTCCATTCAGAAGTTATGGACCAACATGTGATACTGACCTTAAAGTGAGTACAATATATCTCTCCCTATTTATTGAAAAGTCAAGCAAATTTATAAAACTCTTTATCCTTAATCATTCTAAAAATGTTTTATATTAATGGATTTGTTTACAATGAATTTAGAGAAGTCCATAACTATTTTAAAAGGTTTCAATATGAAACAACTCAATCTGAGCAGTCAACTTCAAAGTCTGCTCTAACTCTTGAAACAGATATTGACATTGGTATGTTTATCATCTATGTTACTCTCCTTAACTCAAATGGTTACAGTCATTTCTTCAAAACACAATACTCTAACAATTTGAGTACGAGAATAGCATAGATGATAAAACAGACCTATGTTAGTATTATAAGGCCAGGACTATCTGAACCATGCGCTTACAATGCATTTTATTTCAAATAATCAACTTTGCCCTTAAATTTCATGTTAACAGAATTTGGAGGAATACTTTAATAAATTTTTAATTTAAAGAATACAACCAATTAAAATGTATACCTCATACAATGCCATTTGATTAGAATAGGAAGATGCTCGTGATAGTTCATCAGCCAGGGCCAAATACTGCTGCTCATTGTGCTGGGACGTATCATCTCCTGAAAATAAACATTGATATATGTATTTTATAAAAAACCAGACATTTATATAAACTGATATCATCTTATTTAAACATGAATGCTAAATTTATCACCATTATCAAAAGAGGATATTAATCTTTTCAAAGAAATATTAAAATAATTATATTATGAAACTTTTACAAAGAATTAATTCAATTTATTTCGTTCTCAACTCTACATAAAATTATAACTTCTGAAAACTTGTTTTTGCTAAAACTGATCAGATTTATTTCTAGCATCAAACAAGGAGATGAAGAAAGTCAGGCATGAATCTGTAATCTTTAAAGGGTGGGAAGGAGATTTTTTAGTGAGTATGGGGAAAAGACGGTCATTGGGGAGTGGAGAAGAAAGAGGATCAAAATCCTTTATTAATTTGAAACACATTTTTAGATAAAAATAAAAAACTTATCACTCAAACGAAAACATTTTTATTTGAAAAAGAGCTATGTTAGATTATAATACAACAAATCTTTTTTGCAGTTGACAAATTGCATTTTTAAGACTGTTCAAACACATTCTTAACAGCCCTGAACTGATAAAGACATATCTAAGCAAATAATTATGAAAAAAACCCAATACCTAAATTATGTGCATGCCAATTCATATGACTTAGAAATGAAATGTCATAACAAATACTTCAATTTTCTAAAATCTTTCAAAAGCAAAGCAAATTATTGATTAAGTCAGGTGCAACTATTGCACTTAATATGAGTTTTCAAGTAAAATCATGCCCTGTAATTATCAAATAAGTATCACATTATAGCCTGCAAGAATTGCTAATTCAAAAACTTACTAAATTAACTCAACAGATACTAAAAATCATGGAAGTTGGCCAAATCTATATAAAACTTGTAAGATATATCAGCAAATTGATATATACATGTACACTTTAATTACATCGTTAATTAAGTGCAATCATGCAACAAGATATTATTCTGGTTCCTTTAATTCTGCCTTAAAGAATTTGAAACTTGTAATTTCTGACACTTTGAAATTGTTTTCGGCGCATACAGCATGCATATTTTGCATGTTTTATGATTGGATATTCAATTACAAAGAATTGCAAGAAATTCTGTAAATGCATTATCTATCCATGTACATAAAATACCAAAGGTAAAATATTGTTATTTTGTTGATTTTTCCTGGAAAATCACTTAAATATGTGAGGTAGAATCAATTATTAAGCCTGAAAGAACATACGCTTTACAAGAAAGCTTATATTATTGCCGAAAGATTCTTAGATATGTTTCCCAATTCCAGGTTACCAATATCATTATTGAGGTATTATACTATAGAACATCAAGGTGTGTAGGCCTGAACCAAAACATATTACAAACTTACTGAAGCTTAATTTTGAATTAACACTTACAGAATCCTATAATGTCATCCAGGCACATTTTATTATCATTTCAAAATACACATTTATCCTGCAGTTCTTCTAAAATTATTAACTTATTTGCTCCAATTGTTTGGTACTTTACTACTAGTATCATTAGAGTAAAGTAAGTCATCCCTACGTCAAACAAGAACACCGCATGTCGTGTTCACACTCGTCTGTTAAAAATTCTAAGAAAAAAAGAGGCATAACTCCAAAAATATTGTTTTCAGAATTACGTCCCTTGTTTAACAACTGCAAGTATTCCAAGTTTCATATTGATAACTTTTTAAAATGGTTTGAATAATAGGCTGAATTATAGTTTTTTGTATGACAACAACGAAGATGCTGCAATCATAATAGCTCGAATTTTTCTTTCGAAACAGACCAGCTAAAATAACCTAATTTTCATCAATCAACGTTTTTTGACACAGCTAATTGCAATGACAAAAAAAGTTTTGTTTAACGATGATCCAAAGAAATAGCATTTATTGTAATTCATAGAACTTAACGTTAGCGTTTGTTAACGCTAGTCTTAAAACAAAAAAAATACAGAGAAAAGGATTAACATATTTTTCAGTCAATTTATTTCTCTGCCAAAACAGCTGAAACCAACATTCAAAAAGGAAATAAATGTCAAAATCTACAAAGAAATCAATGAGAAAATGCCAAATTGTTAAATCTTCCCTGTCTATTTTGATACACATATACAAACTTCCTAGTTCAATAAACTTGTTCAAAATCTAACTTTAATATTTATCTATTCCACTGCAAAAAAATGTATTCATTAGTTAAATTTTTGCATTGTTTTTTTTTTCACTAATCAGTACCAAGTCAAACATATACAAACTATTTAAATATTAATCTATTCTGTTTAATAAAAAAAATTCATTAGTTAAATGTTCGCCTTTTTGTTTTTTTTCACTAATCAGTACACAACAACATTATGTAAAGGTGATGTGACTTACATATTTCAGACATGCCTGTCCTCCCATTCATTGATATTGACAAAGATTAAATTTTTTTTTTCATTTTTCTAGGAAAAATTCATTAGTCCTTCAAGGAAAAAAAAAATTTACTACAAAAGATTTTTGTTCTTATAGAAGACTTCTCACTACTTGTAGTCATGATTATTTTTGGCTATTTCTAATAATTTATTATTTCTCAGTCAGTTCAGTGACTAAATTTTTTAGAGTAGTTTGTCCTAATGAAGGTCAATTGATGACCGAAACTAGTAGACTAAATAAATTATTGTACAACAATTGTCCGGTGTTGATGTGTATTACACTTGCACCCCTCTTATACTGTCAATTATATACATTTCCAAATATACAATTTTCCCGGGTTTCAAAACATTCTGAAAACTTAGGAAAAAATATTTGTGGAGAGAAACAATGTTGTTTTTTTTTGTCTATCAATAGTCTTAATGGAATTTTAGATTGTTGTTGAAGTATTTTGTTTTTGTTTGGTTTTACAGCATACCAACACAATATAGGTCACATGACACTGAAACAGGCAAGAATTTGGCTTACCCGGGGTGTTACAATTTTTAAGCATCACCAGGCGTCAAAACCACCTCACCTGATGCATTATTAAGGCTACAGTTATTTGGACCAATTTAGTGGTCTGTTAAGATCACACAGAAATAACAGTGGCTGCAATTCTGATGCCTCTGACATTACTTTTAAATTGTAGTAAAGGATAAAGCCCTTATAAAACCAAACTGACAGTACATTTTGCTTAGAACAATTCCTTGAAAACGCAGCTACAAAAAAAGGACATGACAATTTTCCTGTATCAGCATCTTGCCTTTAAAATCACTTAAACGTTCATAAATTATTCAAACTATCCACCAAAAACAAATTTAGTGACATAATTTAGCCAGTGAGAAAGGTGTTTGCTAAAATCTAATATAATTCTCTTTCACGAAGAAACAGATAGCAAGCTTGAAGATTGGTTTCTATAATATTTGTTAGTTTTAGATGCATTCGTTGTCTGGAAACAGATTTTATCTTTATTCTATTAGAATAGGAACAGAACTGCACAATTTAATCACTTCCAACATGGTAATAATTTTGTCTACTTAGTATTGATATTTGCAGGGGGTGGGGTATGGGGGAAATTACTTGATGTTTTATGCAATCTGACACTTTTGTCTCAGCTATTCAATAAAGTACCTGACAATTCATAAGAAAATGTCAGAGCACACCTGAGAGTATAATAAAACACAAAAGATTAAATAAGTTCTTGCAACTTCCTTTTAACAAAACCAATGAAACAACACTAAAATGTGCTGATCTTAAAAAGCAAACCTTCTTATAATTACACTAATACAACTTTAGGCAATCAAGGACAACTTTCCAAGCACTGTATGATGTCACATGTACTTTATAATGGCAATCTTGACACTTCAATAAGAACTTTTTTAAATAAATCAACCTACAATCATTAATCTGGCAAAAGCAAACAATTTTTTTAAAAATTGACTTACGAAGCACAATTTAAATAAATAAACTGCAAAGGCTATCAACAACAACATTGCTCTTTAAATAAATGGACTGAGTTGCCAGGGTAATCAAAAAGAACTTTCCACGTAAATGTAATGTATTCTTGATGGCAGACAGTGTGTTAACATAACTGTACAGGAAATTGGCATCTTAATTACAATAATGGACATGACATTGGAATCAACACCTATTTTAAGTTAATTGACATGAAACAATTATTGGCAATCCCTGTTGCAGCAGGTACAGACATACTTTTAGACAATCATTTGGCAATCTCAGACCCCACTATGTGTAGTTCAATACACTTACATTATAGATTAAAGCATTAAACACCAAACAATGCCAAAAATCACTATACATTATGTAAGTCTGCAAGTTTATTCAGACAATTACATAACACTTTCAGGTATCAAACAATTGAACCACAAACAAAATATCTCAAACAAAATATACAGGAAGATACTACAGACGATTTTGTACCAAATGCTCAATCTGAACAAACAACTCAACCTTTCACAGAACCTATATGCTCATACAATCTATACAACATAAAATGAAATTCCATACAACATGTTAAACTTGTCTACATTTATGTACAAGCAGTCTGTAAATAGTGCATGTAAGTCGGAAATATAGTGTTTAATGGGCAATAAATTTCAGGAAGCAGCTAGCTAGCATTAATCAATCGTTCAGTATAGTTATGTCAGTGTAACAGTACCTTTTTCACTGCTGTATTCTTATATTGAATAATAAACTATAGTCCTAGTCTTTAATCTAGTATAAGAACTTTTCATTATCAGGTTAAAAAGTGTACATTATCAATGTTGAAAGTACTAGAGTTAGATAGTCAGCAGTGAAGAATATGAAAATATGAACAGAATGGATATTACTATAGATATCTCAAAATTATCTAAACTTCCATCAGAGATAGGAAGTGTTACTACAATTTAGAATGTGAATAAAATTCTACAACAATTAACAAAATTCTGATTCTCCAATCAAGGTGCTTCTTTGTAATTGGCCTGACAATTAACATATGAGCCACGTCACAACAAAACCAACATAGTGCGTTTGCGACCAGCATGGATCCAGACCAGCCTGCGCATCCCCGCAGTCTGATGAGGATCCATGCTGTTCGCTATCAGTTTCTCTACTTGTAATAGAGTTGGTAAGCGAATAGCATGGATCCTGATCAGATTGCACGGATGTGCAGGCTGGTTTGGATCCATGCTGGTCGCAAACGCACTATGTTGGTTTTGTCGTGACGCGGCTCATATATACTTTAGAATAGAACTGACATCATTTAAGTCACTAAATTAGTCTCCTATAAAACCAACCTTTGAAACTCGGGTCCAAGTTCTTTTAAAAAATTCGGCAAAGATGAGATGAAATAACAAATATAATTATTATAATATGTTATAATTGTTATAAAATAATGATATAACAATATCTAAAACTCCCAGACTTTTATTTTATATATTTGAATTTATTGGCACAAGCTTTAAGTGGTATTAAATCTGAAACACAATGTGTTTTAATCACTATGAAACCAGAAGACGATTAAGACATCTGTAACCTTGGAAACAACTAAACAATCTTAGTAACAGTTAAATATTACTATTTTAAAAGAATATGCTACCATATCCCCTTACAATCTAGTAAATTTAATTTAAATTTTCAGAGCTATCATATTACTTTATAAAAGTCTTGCTATATATAGCTGTATTTGTGTGAATCATACCATCGAAAAACAACATTTAACTTGAATAAACCAGTACTGACAGCTGCTATACAGTATAGCAGTCATATCACTGCTGATTTCTATATTGATTGTCTAAAACAGTAACATATACACCTGTCCAAGACACTTGCTACTGCCTTCTTTATTATCTATTAGATCATCTACCAGCACGGATACTTGTAGTGTTTTACTGTGGGAAGTCTACAAAGTTATTCAAGTACAAGTGTATGAAACATGTCCGAAATCTAGGACATAAAACAGATTGAGAGAATTTTTATTTTATCCTACATGTTCCGCACCTATCAAGATCATTAACAGAAGACAACTATAGCTTTAAAGTATCCACTCAAATTTCTAAATATAAAACTCATTTAAGCTTCTCCAATATAGAATTACAATTATAAAAATAACTGTAAATAAATCTTTACCTGCAGAATAATAAAGATTAGGAATAAAGAAAGTTTTTACTGATAAAAACATAATGAAGAATTTTAGTGTCATCACCTTCCTTGTCGTCTGCTCGTTTAAGTCTCGTGATCACATGGTCGCCATTGGCTGTTGTCACGGTGATAGTTGGTAAAAGTTCTTTTTTATGAGGACTCTTCTGTTGTTCAGGTGACACGTTACCTGATGAATGTTCCGGTGAGGTATTGTCTACAGTCACCTCTTTACCCTCACTCCCCGAGGACTGTTTATCCTCACTACCCGAGGACTGTTTACGAGGGGTGTCATTACTGGCACCTTGAGGTAAGAGAGGCTCTAATGGAATGTTATTTTCAACCGGTACCTCCTCTATACTAAATTTCTTCACCATTTTTCCCTTTTCTTATTTGAAATCTGTTAATTCACTAGTATAATTATTTACCAATTTTCCAACATTGTTGTTTCTTCAACTCCTTTATCTTCAAATAATCCTAACATCAATTCCCCTTCATAATAATATCCAATACACTTTAAATTGCATAACTCCTCCACATACACAAATATTTTTATTCCTATATTCTTCCTATATTTTACTTACTAAAACAGAAAAAAAAAAGTTCAATAAGTTTCATTAACATTATTTCAAAAGGTAACCTATAGAATAACAAATTTCAGAAAATCACAATTTAATAATTCGCAAATTATTTTCCCTATTTATTATTTAAGTCACATAAATCCAATATTTTCCTCATATTATTCTACTATTACCTATCCAAATCAACCAGACACACAAACACACACACATCAACAAAACTATTTTACATCTTCCTCAATAATAAAACTATAAATCGGTAAATTTCCCTGATAGTAGAAAAGAAGATATATATATATTTATTCAGTGTTACATAACAATTTCACAAAACGCCATAGAAAATCAGGCTTCACACCATTATTGTGAAATAGTTCTAAAATTCTCGGAGAAAACTGCAGATAAAATTAATCCATCACTGGGAGCATATGTATGACTTTAACCATAGGAAAATTACATTAACTACTTTTCTTGCCAATTTTACTATTTTTTTCTTCTTTTCCAATAAAAAATATCCCTACAAAGCTTATAAGATCACTGAAAAGCAAAAGACTGGAAACGACTTAAAATACTTCATTGCGACTTAAAATACTTCATTGCATATTTATCTATCTTAAATAAACAGAAAAAAAATTCAAAAATGAACATTACTATCCATGACACATGATATGACAGTCAAAACACATTATAATTTATATCCCATAATCTATTAATTCTTCACGATGAGGACGATTTTTATTGATATATACTTTTGATATTAAATAAATTTTTTGATATTTGAACTCAAAACAAGAACAGTAAGTGATATATTGCATAGGATAAATTAGATCCATCGTTTATTAATGAAAGGGTATATTCTTATCTTATTAAAGAAAAAAATAATTAAAATTTATCACAAAAATTAATTCATTAAGATATACATTACCAGAATTTCAAAAAGGTCCAAAACAAAAATGTACAATTTAAAAAAATTATCATTAAATATTAAAGTAGCAACACAAGATAGTCTGAAATAATATTATTTATCAAAATGTTTAGTGAAGTTTTAAATTATTGTCCTATTGTGTAAAATTGTTTTCTTTTCAGAAGCTTAATTTTCTACAATGTAACTCACAGCAATTAAAATCAATATCCAGATTAAACATCACCATGTCTGTTAATGAATTAACATTTTCAGCTACTTTAATTTTATTCCACAAGAAATATAAATAATTGCTTTAATCCATGGTGATCTAACATTTAAATCTGTGTTTTATTTAAACAGCCAAAATAACCAATTCACAATTAAACTAAGCCATGCCTCTTTTAACTCCCACTCCTACAATAACATTGTAACAATGCAACAAACTTTAAACAGTTTCCAAAACACACAATGTCCTTTTAAAAACACAGGAATAATCCAACCTGCAACAGACTCTCTTCCTAAAATAAATATCAACTGAAAAACTTCACCTTTACAAAACAGCACACTAGCACTAATTACTGCACTGGAGAACACTTTAGTATTAACTGGTAAAATATTTCTGTTACCACACTATTTTGAAAAATCATCTTATTGATTGTTTAACAAGAGGTTATCACTAAATCCTAGAAAGTTTACTATCTTTTCAGTAATCAACACTTAATTTAAAAATAACTTCCTTCAAATTAAACCAGACTGGCAGACAAGCCGGTTCTCCATAATTTTATTGCTGATAATACAAAAAAAAACAAAACAAAAAAAAACTATGAAAATGATGATTTTTGTATTCTCTCCCCCAAGTCATGAGTGTTTTTATGTATAACCATGGCAACATTTTACCCAAATTTTATCAGATATAGGAAGACAATTTCTGATTGTTATCTAATATATGAGTAAACACACCTTCACCTTACAATACTAATTTATAACACTTGTACACACTGTCTGAGCCAACCTTAAAATACTCAATCTTTTAGCACTCTGAACTTAATCAAAGCTGAATCACTTAAAATATTCAATTAAAATCTTAACATTCAAATATTTAACTTGATATCCAACATCAGAGAATACATTTTAACTAAACCAATATTCTATTACTATTTTTAGCTTAGCACTCCTTTTGTTACTATTTATAACTAAGAGCAATTAATTTGTTACTATTTATAGATATATTACTTTTTTAACCATTGTGTCATTTTTAAGATGTTTATTTCATTGTTTATAAACCATGTACAATGCGATTGACTCATCAAATATAACTTGGCAGAAAAAAGAAATCATAATTTTCTCTATCCTAATATGAAATAAAACCTAATGACATTTAAATAAAAAGCATTTTGATGGTTTTAATGTCAAAGACAAAACTAAACTTATAATAACCTCTAAACTGGTTTATTCCACTTCATATTAATTATTTCATGACACTTTAAAGTTCAAACAATTTCATCATATCATTAAAAATGTTTTCTTTTTATATAATATGATTGAAAATAAAGGTCAACTAACTTAGCACTCTTGACATAGAAGAAGCTGTTCTATCAATGTCTAATTATCAGGTCTGTCATCCAATTTAATGACTAACGATTATGACAAAATATTACAAGAATAGATACACAGTTATACATGTAATATTGTTATCATTTATGAAGAATAGGCTATCATATTATGCTTAGAATTAGGAATCAGGCTTGCCAGTCCAGACATGCAATATCCTTTATTAATACAGGTACTTTTGCACAACATGAGCAGTGTGATCAGAGGAAATGCAATACATCAGCTCATGACACATACTATGTAGAGCATAATCTAGATGCCACTCAGGAAGTGCCTTTGTGTGCTTAAGGTCAAAGATAATGAAGTGTGTTACTATGACAATTCCAGCTTATCCCATTTCAGATCATGACAGAGCTTCTACAAAAGTTGCCATGTTTGTTATGTTGGCTTCTTGGAATCTTTACCCCAGCCTTGGTATTTGTCTAGGCAGTTCCAAAGACTCTGCGAAGAGTCAGTTTTGTTTCCACTAACCTCATCCGTTAGCCCACTCAAACTACACCTGAGGCAGTGGTTCTGATACAGAGTAATTTGTATGCATAGTCTTCTTGAATGAAAACCACTTTCAAACAAACTTGTATAGATCATTTGTGTGGTTACAGTGAATGCCACAAGGCACATTTAATAAAGGTGTACAGTAATCCAAGTTGATGCTGTGTTCTGTTATTCATGCCTAGAAGATCACAAAATTGTTTGTTGGTTGGTTGCCATCTGTCTTCTTACATTTAAAATTAATCTTTTCCATTCATTCTAAAGTTTCAATAAGGTTGAATACATAAAGTTTAACATACTTGTATGCAGTGCCAGATGAAATTCTACTGGTACATCATTTTCAAGACTTGCACAGAAACAATTACCATCATAAAATAAGCTGTACGCACATGTGGGACCATTTAATACAAACGTATGAAATTTTTTAGAAAATTTAAGATTTTAGTACAGTTTTCTAAAGTTTGACTTCCTCAAAACATTTTGGTTCAGCTTTAACTCTAACATCAATCTCTTGCAAACTTGACATGATGCTGTTCAAAAGGTTTGGAGCTTTAAAGCATTAAACATGTGCAATGTATTCAAGAAGTACAAAATTGTCACATAAACAATAGATTCAATGGTTTCACTTCTTACAGGACATTATAGTGACTTCAAATTTGAATGTCTAATATTTTTCTTGCCATATATACAAATTCTATATACTTATTTTCACAACAAAATCAAAATTAATGTTCTTATCTCTTGACATTTTTGCAGTATCTTGGTACATGGATTTATTTTTCAAGTCTCTGTAATTGTTACCATTGACTGTTCACTAAATCTATCCTACTCCTGACATTTCAGCTGTATACTGGTATATGTACCAATAAACATGTCATCTATAATTCCATTTCATTAAATAAACTTCTCCCTTTCTCTTGACACTTTGGCAGCTTTTCTGACAATATTCAATATAATTTTTGCTATTCAATTCAAATAAAAGAAATAAACAACACTCATTTTGTTCTAAAGGACTTTTCCAATTACAGTTTTTACACCATTGTCCCAAAATTCAATTCTATAAAAATGGAAGCTATGAATACTTAAAGAAAAAAAAACACTATAAAACATCTGTTTTTTTCTTTTACATTTTTGCTGCTGAATATTTCAGAGCAAATATTTCTTTGCCTTATTTTTTTCAATTTCTTAAAAATAAAAGTCCATTGTTTCAAAACAATTAGGTCTTTACAACATAGATTAATGTTTTTATTTTATAGGAATAAACTAACTCATGTCAGCAAAAACACATTGTGTCCCACAACCCTCAGAGAGTTGTTGTTTTTTTTTTGTTTTGTTTTTTTTTTTTGGGGGGGGGGGGGTTGGGTTTTTATTCACACCAACACAGTAGAGGTCATATGTTCCAACTTTACTGCTGGAGGAAGACCTCAGGTACCCTTATTTCAGGCATGAACAGGCACCTGTTGTCTGTTTAAATAACCACTTTTGACAATAGTTAAAAATAGGAATAACTCTAAAAATATAGCTTTCAGAATTATATGCCCCCATAGCCCCTTGCCTTACAATTGCCTCTGGTCATGAAAAGCAACTTTTCCAATTTGTACACAGATACCTTTAAAATTGTTTGAGTGATAGGCTACATTTTAAATTTTTGCTTGATAAAAATGACATTGCATTAGAGATTTTCTTTGAAACAGACAAAAAATTAAGCTGAATTCTGCAATCAAGACAGACAGGAACCTTTTTTTCCTACATGTACTGCCATATTGCAATAGGTTGAATTTATGTCTGAATATTTCTTTTAGGTTTAACTTTTGATAAAGTAACTAAAATTTCATTTGGTTTATTGTGGTTAACATTATTTCTGTTTTACTTCAATATCTCCTTTGTTCTCATTAAGTATGCTTTAGTTTCTTATTCTTACAAAGTCTATCATAATTATGTTAGTTAATTATACTCATTGGTTCAAATAATGTTATGTCTGTTAAGTGTATTCCGTACATTATTATTATTATATGCCTAGATAAATACAATTTATCTTATTCTATTTTACATTGTTAAAGGTGATGTTGGTAGGTGTATTACACCACCTTCTAATATTGGTGTTTCTACCTGCAAATTCCCAAGAACAACATCCATATGCAAAATTATTAAGTCCATTATTCCTTTCCAGCAAATCTAAACAAAAAAACTTCCCAAACTACATACCAAATAATCATGTTTCTTTGAAAAAAAAATTGTTTGCATTTCATAAAATACACTACTATATACTTGTTTCCAACACATATAAATCATTTATTGAGCCAGAGTAGGGACTATCAACATGGGACAACAGCAGTTACTTGCCCTGT